ACTCTGAAATTCGTCGTAATCCGAAAAACGCCAAAGACCCAATCATTCAACCATAACTCCATTAACTTCGGCATCGAAAATTACTTCCTGCGGATTGCGAGGATCGTACCATGCAACTCGTCTCTCGTCTCCGCGACGCCCCCCAACTGTAGTCCAAACATGCTTGAGCTTCTTATCGTCGTAAATTTCACGATGTCCCATCCATCGTAAACGTGTCTTGGGTTCCATATCACTGATTCCAAGACCACCGTTTTGTACCCACTCTTTAACTGCACATCTGATGAATTCAACTTTTCTCCTAAAGTCATTTGCTTGGGGAAGACCTTGAATCATTGGATCAATCTCGGGACGTTTGCGTGAAGTGGGTTTCACTGCCCTCGAGGGCTTAGCCATGAAGTTTAGAAGTGTTTGCAGAGGATAGGAGAGATGTTGTCGCTCATCAAGGGCAGTCGTCGGAAGCGTTCCATTTTCCGTGAGCTCTCGTGCGCATTCGAAAGAAAGGTGATAGAAATCACACCAGAATCCATCCGCTGAAAGGACGACTTTAGTATGATCGGGAAAGTTGAACTGAAAATGGCCGTCACTGAATCCCCAGCAACCAACATCTCCCCATCGTTGATAAAACGTGATGACTGTACTGTTGACAGTAGCCTCGGGATTCTGACCGGCCGTCCATGATTCATAAGGATACTCGGCATCTCTGCCATAAGCAAACATATAATTGCCAAATTTCTTCCATAGACAGATCTTTTCTCGTTTGCGATTATCAAAAGAGTCTACACCTAGAGGGAGTCTGCCGGGTCGACCCTCGGGACTTTCAGCAACTCTGTAAGTCTTGGCAGGGACCGATCCACGGATCATTCCCCTCTCACCCTTGCTTTCATAAAATTCTACATTCGGACCAGAAATTGGAATAATCTGATGCCTGTGTGCGTACGATTTGTTGGTTCGATTCGCGAGATGCCTCTCTCCGTCGCGAATAACAATGCAAGAAGGAGCGATGACGTTATCCTCACTTTCTGGAGAACCAGCTGGTGTTTCCCTAAAGACACAACCCACGCTTCCGTTACTGAGAATATATCCAAGCCCATATTTGTTGGTATAATCTACCCACTTCACAACTATAGCAGGGGTGGCGGGTCTAGATTTCGGAGTGGCTGCAATGGATCTACTGTTCAAAGCTCGGTCAAGCTCGACCTGGAGCCGTTGTAGGCCTTCGAGAATATGGTCTGGCTTGCTACCTGGTAACCACTCCAATTTTTCTTGAGGTGAAAATAGCGAAACAACCTTCTTAGTAGACTGTTTTTTCTTCAGTTCCTGTGATTTTCGTTCCTCGTCCGCTTTTTGCAACTCGTCCACCAAATCAGCTGCAAGGCGCCCCTCAGCTTCGGAAGAGATTTGTGGTACAGATGGAATAGTTTTGGTCTTAAGAATACTACGGGGGGGTTTGATCTCGGCTGTTGTGTTACTGGCCGGCTCTCTAGTATTGGTCTCTCTTTGGATCGGTCGTCGAGGAAGGGCACCTCTGATTGAAGCAGTGTTTAATGGTTGATCCTTGATGCGCTGCTGTGCCGCAAAGCTTTGACTAGCAACTCTCTGAGAAACGGTTCTTTGTGAGAGAGGCTTTTTGGCCAACGGTGCAAGACTCGACTCTGCGAAATCCGAAACGAGAGAATCCACAACTGTACTAGATGCCTCAATCTCAGTAGTAGCTTTTTCTTCAACACTTTGCTGGTTTTGCTCTCTGACATGTTCGGAATACGGACGGTAGATGATACCCTCGGCCAGTGGCACATTAGGCGTAAGACCGGCTTTCTCTTCTAAAGCACACTCCTTGTAAAGACTTGTGTACTGTTTCTTTGGAGTCCAGGGACCAACTTCACATTTGATGCATAATTTCTTAAGGCTTCGAGCGTAAGGATTCGGCTTGCCAGGTTTAACAACGACTGAAGGGAATTGATCGGGCCTTGGGGGATCCTCTAGTAAATCGGGACTCATCTCTTCAACCTGGGGCATCCAGCCGCAGGTGAAAAACGGGTGTTGCACAATGATATCTGGATGTGGGCGCTCTTCTGCATCCTGTAACATGGTGGATACCAAATCTTGAATCTCTGGTGAGATCATATTGGCACTGACGAAATGTTGTGGCCAGGTGTATTCTCTTTCCTTTGCACGTCGATAAATTTCATCGGCTGTAGCGGACTGAAATGGTGGTTTTCCGGTGAGCATGGCAAAACTGAAGCATGTTAGATCAGGTATGGAGACGTTTATAGAACTACGAAATGCCGACTCACATTATGATACCCAAACTCCATATGTCAACTGCATGATCGTGTCCACCATTGTTTTTGGATAGGATTTCAGGCGCAATATAATTTGGTGTTCCACATAGAGTTGTCCTTCTGCATGCTGCCATATCCTTATTCGACATGAGCAATGCTGCAAGTCCGAAATCACCAATCTTAACATTCATATCCTTGTCCAAAAAAATGTTTCCCATCTTCAGATCACGGTGTATTATGCCTCTTGCATGCATATATTTAATGGCTCCAGCAATCTGGACAGTGTAGAAACGAACTTCCGGCTCCGTAAGATACTTTCTCTTTTTGACCATGTCCATTAACGAACCATTAGGGCAGAGTTCCATAGCTATGTAAGTGCATTGATCGTGTGAAAATGCTCGGTAGAATCGAACAATGTTTGGATGATTCATCTTCGAATGGATTTGAAGCTCGGTTTGGAACTATCACACGGGTTTAGCTCACGACGTTACCGTTATCGAGGGTAGTTGGGCTAACCTTTTGCTCCATTTTCTTCTGTGACATGTGGCTTTTGACAATCTTCAAAGCATACTTCTTCCTTGTCCCTTTAAGTTGACCTTCGTAACAAATAGCAAATCCACCTTTCCCAAGACAACGGCCGGTCTTGTATATAGATCCATCTTTTCGATCCGAACATGGTGGTTCTGGTACCTCACTAGGTGGTGGTGGAGGGTGATCCTTTTCTCTTGCTAACTTGGTTGGGGGAGCTGTTTTCTGCACCGCTGTTTTCGTACGAATATTCGCGTTGACATCTCTGGGTGATAACGCGTCCATTTCTTCGTTACAGGGAAATTGTTGTTCCCAGATGAGGCAACGGTGAATGTTTTTGAAAGCTGTTTTCGTGAATTGTTCGTAGGTTTGTCCGTTGAAATTTTCGTCAACCTGCAAGCGCCTGTACTCGAGATCTAGCTGTATCACTTCATGAAACTTTTTCAGTTCGGTGCCGTCGTGAGCACAATAAGCCTGGATAGTACGGTAGTCAGTAAAGAATAATACAGCGTGCTGGTTTTTCGGCGACTTTCGATCACAATTGGCGGAAGCGCTGCTGAATCGAGATAGAACGCATCCTATGATATCTAAGATTTCTATTTCGAGCGGTACTATTTCCCATACGAGCTTAGGATAATGAAGTTCCAAGTGCCCTCTGTCTGCACATCCTGGATGACCGTACACATATCGTCCCAGCATGGAGCCATGTCTATTGGAAAACTCGGAGATCTGAGTCGAAGATGGTCTTTGTCTTTTTGCGGCTTCTTCTGCGTCTGATAATGCTACCACACTAATTTTTGGTGTCCAATGTTGAGATAATTTGTGGATGTTCACTTCCTCCATGGCCGATGTTTTTGAAAGCAGAATTGTGACTTACAGTTGGGGGTTTAATTGTTGTCCGAATACATTCTCCCTCGGGTAGTTTGCAATTTACTGTCAATGTTGTCAACCGATTAAAGACAGTGAATTTGATGAGGCTGATAAGATCAAAAAGATGGGTTTAGAAACAAAGTACTTTTTTCTTGCTCATGTAGTTATCCGAATTAATTGTAAACAGCCTCGAAAGGGTTCTGCTGGTCTGGGCGGGAACAAGCTTGAATTTTTTGGTTGATACAGCAACAAAGCCACGAAACACGAAACCTTCCATCTTTGCTTAGAATACTCCACCAAAATTACACCATCCACTCTGACACCTTCAAAAAAATAACCAGGCTGACTAAGTTAAATTACCTGCTGGGTGCTTACCCAATATCTTGCCTCGAAATGGATTTGTGAATATAATCCATAGATATTTGGCTGAGCTTACATTACATTACAATGGCAATTCATTAACTGTCAATCTTACTACTTCGATATGTCAATGGCAACTGCAGTATAGAAGCGTCCTTTAAGATCCTCAACCACTCATTATGGTCGCGCTTCCTCTATTTAAACTAGGATCCCTCTTCGTGAGGCATATCTCCAAGTATGGTGCAGTATGTATTGACTTACCATACTGTATTTCAAAAGATGCAAGCTAACACCTCTAAGAACTGGATCAAGAGGCAGGCTCATGAGCACCAGAGATTCCGGGCGATAGCAGCTAGAGGTGGACAAGCAATGCATCAATGGAATATGAGAATCCAAGTAAACCTGTTACGGGACAAACAAGCCGAAAAGAGAGCCAGAGAAAAGGCGGAGACTCCAACTGTAAAGACAGAAGAGCAAGCCAAGGCGGAAGAAGCTGCGAAAAAGGCACACCGTCACAATCAAGAAAACACTAGCGTTTGGAGACGGAGATTCAGACCTTTGACGGAAACCAGAGCTGTTGATCTCTTTGCTGATGTTATCGGCGATACCTTTATCCTTTCGGTCGCCATAAGCTTGTTAATGTATGAGTATATCAAAACCCAGTCAAAACCCGATTCGAATGCGGAAAAATTGGCAGAGCTACAAAAACTCGAAGAGGAATTGAACCTGCGGCAGAAAGAATTAGAGGAAGCGCAAAAGAAGCAACAAGAGCGTGTAGAAATACTTGAACAGGTGTTGGAGGAAATTCGGAGTGCCAGTGCAAAGAAAAAGTTGACATGGAGATCATGAATTTCCAGTCGAATTGCGGAACATAACAGTTGCACAAGGGTGGAGAGCAGCCCTTCTATATATAGCAAAGCGTTTGGGAAGCACCTGGCACCTACATATATAGATTATCCCATGAGTAGAGATGCAGAGAGGAAGATGGACGTTGAGAAATCTGTAGCTGGGGAGGCAAGTGACGTATACTTCTCACGGTACAAATAACAATAAGGGAAAGGGAATTCACACAAAGTAAGAGAAATAGGAGGTCTAAGGACGCCGAGCTCATCCATTCTCTCTCGGATGATGTAGGAAGAAGGTCAAGATGTTTGAATGTACATGCCAACTCATCAAATGTAAAAACTATCGAAAAGTATCATGCACTTTCTACAATTTCTTTGAGGTTGTGTTTATGCGTAATGTCGTTTTCTAGAATTCATAGATCGTAGTTCTCATGGTTTTCCAATATGGCGCTAAGAAAGAGTCATCTTTTTTAGGAGGCAATAGTACCAATATTCCCATTCAAACAACGGCATGACGTTGGTAAAACGGACAATACAACATAACGATGTTCTGTTCATCACTTCGCAAAAGACAACAATGGGCTTCATTGCCTTCCACTTTACTGATGGAGAAGATGCCAAAGTGGAAAGGTCGAGTTGCTGAAATAATCCTCGACTTCCAATACTGACAAATAGACAGAAGCGACTCTGAATACACATGATATATCACTCCCAATGCAGACTAAAACAGGCGAGCAAGAGTTTTTCAGAGTTCTCTTGCTCTCTTCAATAGATATGCAACCCATCGCAAATCTATCCGCCCGAGTCGAAAGACTCTATCACCAGACTGGAGGTCGCAATGTAGGGATAATTTTTCTTCTCCGCGAAGAGGGCGGCAATGACAATGGCTTGAAAGAGTTTATGAATCTTCAAATCAGGTATTAGGAGTCAAGAATCATAACTTAGAACATGGCCCCTTTTTAACATAACTTTAGCTTGATGTCCACTTTCAAGATGCCAATTCTACCTCTAATATCAGTCCCGCAAATCCTCTCAATAGTACAACCTTTTCAGAGACAACTTTGTATCGTTCCATCTTCCAAAAGAATCGATGCTCAATATGAGCTTTTGCCGTTCAGCCACGTCGGTAACACCATGACGGAACATACGAGAAATATACTCAGCGATATTTGTCACAGTGTCCCAGAACTGGCTCGTACTGCTAGTACAACCGACGGGCAAAAGCAGTTAAGGGAATGGCTATCAGAACCCAATCCGGAATCCGCTCAGGATGTTATAGACTTTGTGAGAACTTCCTTAGCACGATATGCTATGAACTGAAGTAGTTCTGACATGTATGAACAGTGGAAGCGAGAATATCTCCTCGAGTAAGATAGATACTCAGGGGATTTGAAGTCCATATGATTACAATGTTTGCTCATCTCACATGTGATCGTTCTTGGTGGAAGATGTCTCTACAAACGATTTCTCAACTTCCTGCGGTGGATAGGAGAATCATCGAAAGAGCACTGTTGGACGTGTGAAGAGAAGCATCTAGAAACCGAACTGGCCTAGACTTGTCACTTGCTCAATCGTAAAGATGACCAACAAATCAGATTACTTTCGTGTTGTTTCTTGACGCGGCTATTATGATAGAAATTACGATGAGATATAATTAATCCTCTCCAAAATTGGTTTCTAGATCGTAGATGGCTGATTTGGCAGTGACGTAGCACCCCTTCATATTTACTCATGGTGGGGTCGAATGTTTTGACCCCATCCCAACCCAATGTAATCAAACGGATGGCGCCGACGAGTGTATGACACGCATTAAATTATATAAACTCATCCATACGATTCCAAGCAAGAATAAGAAATAGGAATGAAACTATGAGACCCAGTCGACCCCACCCCAAATGGCCAAAAAGGAGTCGTGTGAGATGAAAGGTTAGAATGAAACCTGGAATGTGACGTCATAACAATGAGGGGTTGAAACCACGCCAGGAACGAAAACTGCAGCTGCCAACAAATTGAGTCAATCTGATTGAGCTACAAAACCAGCCAAAGTTCCTCTTTCTACGACTCTTTCCTTCCTCATACAAACAAATCTATCAATCAAACAACCTCACGAACATCAACGATCAACAATTATTTCAACTACACACCAAATATCTTCTTTCAATCGACAATACAACCGCAATCATGAAGGCTTCCGGATCCCAAACCAAGATTCACTACAAGGGTACCAAGACCGATGAGGACTTCATCGTCTTTGTAGACTCAGAGGAAGATCTCAAGAAGTGGAAGGGAGACAAGAGCATTCCTCTTGCACAAGTTGTCGGTCTCTTCAAGGTCTTCGTTACACACAAGTAAGCTCTTTCCCTCATCATTACCCCACACTCCACGTAAAGCTTCAGCTTTACATCGATACTCTCTTCAACATCAGAGCACCATCTATATAGTCTTTTATTCATTCTTTTGATCATCGAATTAACATAATAAACTTCTAGGCACGGAGCTCAAGGTTCTCATGATGAGGCTTCAGAGTCTCAATTGGTGAACGAGTTCGATACCAAGGTTGAGGATGATATCATCAAGACCATTCTCGAGAAGGGAGAGCCACAACACGGTTCTGTATGTTTACCCTTTCCCATATGCCCATACATTTTATCAGAGCAAAGACTAACATTACCTTACCCCGCAGTCAATGGAGAAGACCGGACCCAAGAACGATAGCATGGGTGCAATGAGTGCTCATTAGAGTACTTACATCGGAGTTGGCGAATGGTTTGAACGGGACGGAATGGGATACGATATGATATGATGTTATTTGCATGCATGCATTATATGACATGACATCGCACGATTTTTGCTGGAGATATGGATCAATACCCTTGGAGGAAAGGATGGGAAGATCACTAAAATACACTACGATTTGATGAGATATCATATTGCCTCTTTAATTAGCTGGTATTAGCACTAGTGAAGTATCTAGTAGCTACGGATGCTCAATGAAAAAAAAATGATAAAACTCCATTGTTATGTTTACCGATTGTATTGTGCATGATCACTCAATGCGAGAAATGCTTTTCACTAGGGAAAGCACAGCAAATAACCGCTGGACCACCAGGACGATACTTTGGCTTAGTAATGATCACAATGCACGAACTTGTCTGAGCATCTACAAAGTCAAGAGAACTGTTTGTTTCTTGCCACGACTTCTACTACTCCATGATTAGACTAATGGAAGATCTACGTGACAGCAAAGATATACAAGGAGGAGACCGAGAAACATGGTTCGGAGCTCAAGAAGAAGTGATTAAAGTTTGTTCTTCATTATCTTGATCGTATATTGCATATCGAAATTCTCTTTTCAAAGGAAACCTCAACCGGCTCAGAACATTTCATTTGTCAAAATGAATAATTGTCGTGAAGATCTCGAAGGCCTCTGACTCTGTATTTATTTCGAGTCTATACAGATCTTAGATGACACAGTCACCGAATTTCATCTCACACGCCAGCAGAATATGTACCGTCAAAACTATACGTCAAGACATCACTGGATGCGGAAAGCGAGTGCGCCGTGATTGTTCTGTATACAAGAAGGTCCATACAGAGTGCAATACCCAACATACGATGGTGGTAGCAGTTGCGTCCCCGTCAGAGACTTTCGGCAGTCAAGAACACAATAGAACTTTGAATGGGCGTGCATTTAGTACATGTGGACTCTAACAAGTACGTCTGCAAGAAATTGAAAAGGTCAAACTTTATATCAAGGACCAGTAAAGTTTTGGAACTGGAGCTGTGGAATCTGGAACGGATATAGGGCAGTGAGGGTGTCGTGCGGCTTATTGCGGTCGACTCCTATTTGTCAACCCATATCGAACGACAATCGCCATAGGAGACGTCCTTCTTACCAGTCTGTGAGGTCCTTCCTAAGTTCCACCAAAACAGCATGCCACGGGATTCTTTGTAGTTACTAAAACTCAATCACCCCTGACATTTTTGGACACTAGACTTCACTTGTACACTTGACGCCGTTCATCAAAATAGCATAGTGCATATGGAGTCAAAGCCAGAGAACATCGCCCTGGACAAAAGCACGCACGCTATACCGATCGACTTTGTTGAAACTGGAGGTACAACTTGACAGTAGCTATCACCAGAGATAGAATCTTTATCGGAACCATTTTCTTAAGACATTGAAGCACGGAAATAGAATAACAATTGGAAACTGGGGCAAATACTCTCTACAATGGCTCACGCTACGTGTAATTTGATGGGGCACAAAGTGCTAAGCAAATCTCGCGCCTTGCTATCAGAGCTCTCTCCTTGTATTCCACTTCAGGATGCAATTTCCATGATTTCGTCATCAGTAGATTTCCAATGCGAACAAGCCGAATTCACTCCAGTCAACACTACCGGTGTCGAATTTGACATCGAAGTGACCACCCGGTAACAATACAACTCGAAACATATTTCGAGAACAACTGCCAAAATTCAACCTACCTGGGCCATCACGTTTATCCCCAAGTGTTCATTCGCAGGTGTCCAGAGAGCATGGCCGTCCTATAGTACTAGCATCTTCTAAGTTGCTACCATGACTACCAAGCCATGTGCCTTTCTTGGCATCATCGATTGGTTCCACAACATCATAGTATACTTTCCGCGACTGCTGACACAGGTTTTGAATTCACATCGTCTCTAACAGCCTGCAATTCTGAACTGGGTTTTGGCGAGTTCGACTTGCACGACGACCAGAATATATTACTTTTTAGATCCCCACGGCTCTCATCACCACTGCTTCAATCTTGAAGAGTCGACGCCCGCAAAGCAACATGTCACCTATTTAGAAGCTCCAAGTATGTCACAAGGTTGCATCATGTTCTATTAGAAGGCGATTCCCACAGTCAAAGAGTTCTTCTCGTCTACTTACATTGCTGCCAACTACCTGACCTTTAGGACCTTCCCAAATTGTACCTTAGTTACAACTAACATTGAAAGGGGAAATAGCGTGGTTTAGAAGTACAAGGAATACCAAAAATAGGACATAATGGCTAATGCTAATTAGACGCCAGGCCTACGCAGGCCTACCTCCACGGAAGCTACCTCGAATTCTATATTTCTCGAAAGGAGTCACTTTTCCACAACGTAAGATGTAGAAAAGCTGTGCCAGTGATACTTTCTATAGTACTAGCAAATTGAGTTCCTGTACCAATTTTGGCTCTGGTTCTTGCTCTGGCTCATCCACTTCCATGCCTTCTTCGCAGCAGACGTTGCTTGTGCCTCCTCAGTATCTTCACAACTCATTCTATTCATCTTTGATCACATTATGTGATAGAAATGGACTATACTTCATTCTGCTAGTTGATTCTGTAGTTTTAAATACTAAATTAATGATAATTATTGGCTTTAATATTGATTATTCGGTCCCAATACTATCCTAATCACCCCCCGAGCTCTTCTCAAGGGAACATTCAAAGAACAATAACTCATTCACATCTATACAACCAGGATTCAACCCCCCTACCAGATACAAGACAAGGTAAAGCCATCGGGTATTCCAATCCATACCTAAGGATAAAGATTAACACACATCGAATCATTCCACACTGACAGACGAATTTCCATACCCCCAAACCCATAAATAGCAAGCACCTAGATACCTAGTAAACAACCTGCAACACACAATATCAAATCACAATACACCCTCATCCGCTCGCACCCAGATATACATATAAACATAGGTACATGCATGCATAGTCTTCAGCCATCACCTCTTAATCCGATTCTTCAACCTTTAATTAATTATCCCATACACATACACATACATACACACACATTACACAAATACAAATCCACACCCATGCAAATCCAACCACAATCACACCTCCCCACCCACCCTCCAAACTCAAATCCCAAAAACACTCAATTGCAATACCTACCCAGCCACTCCCAAAATCCCCCAAAGAATCCGGATTCAATTAATTAGTCAATTAAATATGCACGTAAACTAAGCCCTACAGGATCCGGTATTCACGATACTCCGTATTCATTCACCAGGAGCGAGTACCGGTGCTAGAGGCTGTGCACGCACGCACGTACACATTTGATTCTAGGATTTGGGGATCGGGGAATCGAGAATCGGGGAATGGTATTTGGGGAATGGAGATTTTTTTATTGGGGAGGTAGGTAGGTCGATAGGTAGGTAGGTAGATAGATAGGTATTGTTCTTGCATGAAAATGGAAATGAAGATATATATATGTATATGTACCTATCTATGTATCTAGATAGGCAGGAAGGGAAGTATCTATTTATACATCCATCCATCCACCCACCCACCCACCCACACACCTATCCAACCCCCCCTCCAAAAACCAATCAATCAACAAGCAAAAATACATACCTAACGTGATTCATAAAGCCACAACCCCCAGCCCCTAGCTATCATCAGCGTCTCGCGGTACGGAGCAAGGCTGGAACTTGCATCGGTGTCTCGGTTTCCCAATCGGTCGATCCACTAGGTCTAGCTAGCCGGACCGACAGACGGACGGACACGGAAATGAGTTTTTTTTATAGGTTTTTTGGAGAATGGTTGAATGGATGGATGGATGGATGGATGAATGGATGGATGGATGGATAAATGAATGAATGAATGATGACCTTGGTTTTGCAATTTGTCGCTGTGGAGATAATACGTGGAGGGGGAAAAGATATATATATAAGCGGAATGAGATGAGATGAGCTGAGTTGAGATGACACAAGACGACTATATGAAATTACCTACGTAGAGGAGGGAGGGAGCGGCTGGACGTTCATGCATGTGTATTCATTTGTATCGTCGAGATGCTTTATGTGTCGTAGCGATGTAGAAGTAGCGAGGGGTGAGTAATGGATTACATAGATACATAGATACATAGATACCTACCCAAGGATCTGAAGTATCTCCGTAACTCCCTCCCGTCTCGCATCTCGCATCTCGAATCTGGATCAGAGAGATTGAGGCTGGGAGACGAAACTGTGTGTCTGTCTCTTTTGAAGGGGATTTTCTGGTTATGTATGTATGTATGTATGTATGTATGTATGTATGTATGTATGTATATATGTGCATTCTGTATAAGATGGTGGAATGATATGAAATGAAATATCTAGATGTTGTGTTATATTACATGATATAATATGATGTCCCGGACCTTTTTATAGCTGGCTACATACAAGTATCCTATTTCTGTACTTGAGAACACATTTCCCAAGCAGTAATAATAAATTCAGGGTTTCGGTTTAGTAGCAAAGTGACAAAGACACGGATAGATATCATGTACCGCAGGAAGGGAAGAATCAATCATAGTTCTTGAATTCCTATTTTATATCTGAAGCTACTGAATTTCGGAAAGTGTGAATACTGGCTGTCCAGAGTCGGGAGAGATGATTACCTAGGTAGATGATGGTATATACATGTATAGAATCTTCACGATTATATTGATGTTTACAAAATAAAGAACGAAGGAAAACGAGCCAGAAGAATGATGTAGAGAACGATGTGTATTCGATTTGACATTAAGTGTGAAAGATGTATGGATGCATGAAATGCGCATACGACTCTTTGATTAGACTGACTTGCTATCTGTCTCTCGGAACACTCCTCTCCATTACCAAAGCAAACACAACTGCTTTGTCAGATGTTGTGAATTGTTAACGATAGACAACATCTTGAAGTTCCAAAGACTATCACACGTAGTCAATTCTAACCCACATCTATCCACCTTCAAACTTCCATTTCCATCCCCATCCTCACCCATCTCCATCTTTCCATTCATCTCACATTACCCCACACCCAAAGTTTAAACGCCGACCGCTAATGTATACCCCCCAATCCCTCGAAACTCCAACCCTAATATGCAATCCTGTCCTTGCAGTTGGGTAATTGAGATGTCGTAGTCATTCATGTATATCCATGCCGTCCCATATCCCTCTACCAATGTCCCTGCCATTCCTTTTCTATCCCTCACCCAGCACATCACCATGACCTCTCCTCTCTGTTAAACCTTTCCCGTTGTGGATCTCCGAGGAGGGAGTTTCCAAACCCCAGCTATCACTTCCCCTTCACTATACGCCCAGAAATATACCACCAGTGCAATGGTGTAGTAGATAGCGGGATTGGTGGCTTGATATAGTAACGCGGAAGCCAAAGCTGTTAAAGGGAGGATGACCAATCGAGCCTCGATGCTGCGATAGAAAGACGTGCCAACGAGGAATCCAAGTGGCCACTCCCAAGCTAGCATGAATAGTCCAAAAACCAGATTGATGATTTGTAGTATTGGCAAAGGCTTGACGGCACCGTCGAGATTCTTGGTGAGAAAGTCCCAGAAGATTTTGGGCCAGAAGAATCCTTCGATGGCAGCTGCTACTTGATCTAGAGTATTCTGATTAGCTTTGTGTATGGAGATTGATATTAGTGAATACTAACAAATTGCGGCAGTGAGGACAATTAGACGTGCCCAGTGATTCTTGATAAGTCTTCCCATTCTATCCTTGAATGCAGAAGTGTTCGAAACGATGTGAGAAAAGTCACAAAGATGCAGTCTTGAGATAGACCGTAGAGGAAATAAGAAAAGGGTATCGTTTGTACAATTCGTCAGTACGGGTTGAAATAAAAAAACCTTAATAGTAATAATAAAAAATAAGTATCCGAGCCAGCGGAGAATGTGAATAACGAAAGTAAAATGGCGTCGACTCGAAGGAATGGTATCGACGACAATGAGTGCACAGCGCTGTTGTCCCAAAAGTCGTTTGGTACCGATATATCGAGGCGTACCTCTACCTATATCCCCGGGCACCAGGACCGTAATCACTGGGCTGGAGATGATGGTCTCCTTCGTAGCTTGTATCAGGCTTATGACACCTAGTCGAGATGACGGAATGTCTAAGGTGCGGTTTGAAGGGAAGAGCCCTTGAGATGATTATCTGATCTTTTCTGACAGCGGGCATCCGAGCGGCGGGGGAAAGATTATGCGTAGAAAGCTGAGATGAAGTTTGTTGTAAGGAGGACCCGGTAAACCGTTGCATCAAGACATTTGAAGGTTCGGACGTCGTCTGATCCGTGATCTATCTGATGAAGATGGAGTTTGAGGAAGTATGAGGAATTGGGTATCGAATTTGTGAGATCTTCGGAGTTATGAGACGTTTTAGTGTTTTAACGTTTGAGGTAGCTCAGGTAAGTCGTTGTAAAATATCGAAAGATCGTTTCCAAACCTGCGGGTTGAGAGGTTTAAGAATCAACAGGGCAGAGAAGTGAATGGGTGTCATGAGATGAGCGGGGGGGCAGGGTGAATGGTACCTTAGTAGTAACGTTAAGAAAAAATGTCTACTTTCGTGCACGACGCTTTTCTATCTTGGGTTGCCATGATATCTACATCTTGGATCTGCAGCCACTGGCACTGGGAACGGGATTGAAATGCACGATTGGGGCAACTCATGTATGCAAGGATGTAACGGAGAGAAAAAAAATGATTTTGGGAGAGGGAGATGAAGATGCTCCCCATTCTAGGATAGTCAAGTAGATCCAATAGATCTCATTGTGGCTACACATGAATATCGTACCGACCCGATAAATGTAGCATCATGAGGGTAAAGTCGATGGCCATTGGATAGTCGACATAAAAATACGTGGTGTGGTTGAGAAGAGAGAGCGACGATTGGATTCTTTGCCCAGAGGTGTCGGCGCTTAGAGGTGCAATCCAAACGGTTCAATGCAATATTTTTTTGATCTACCAAGGCTGTGAACAGGGTTACAGTGTCATAATTCCGGGATGATTGCATACGACATGTCTCTCGTCTCTTATTTTATCGAGCGAAGTTGTCGCCAAAATGCATGGTGGGTATGATCTGACCCGGAATGGCAAGGGGTGATGCACAGAGCACACCTCGCACCCTTGGATGCTGCAAGGTACTACCTGGATTTACGGGATACGTTTAGGGACAGAATCGGTCTCAGGGGATTGACTGGCCGATGGACGTTCTCACGTATCTTGGATATCCAATAGGACAATTCTTCAACACCTCTCGTGCATGGGAGGAGAGAAGAAGGAGGGGTGTTCCGCGTCGAGATTGGCTCATTGGAAATATTTGATGGGAAAAAAGGAAGGTTACACGTCAAGCGAATCGAGGACTTTAATACATGATGAGTGTGAATGAGCGAGTATCTATCTAGGTATATGCGACGTTATGGCTTGGACATGACGAGAATGATACTTCAATTGGATGCACATGTACATGCGTAGGCATAGATGTATATATATGCACCGAGGTCATATACACAACCTTCTTATTTCAAATACTTTGCATAGCAATAGCAGCAATAGCAGCACTTGGATATTCACCACGAATAGAACAATGATGGATGGTGTTCTTCGCAGGTAGGTACAAGGGTATATGGGTGTCTTTCAATATGATCCCGTGACCTTGTTATATCACATGTCGTACATGAGCAGGTATGCGCAACTGAAGCAGAGAGAGTACCATGATTAGATATTAGATATTAGATACCATGATTTGTCACGTCGCTCTCAATTATCCTTCACCATGATAATGCCTTGCCCACTTCCACCGATTCATCAGCGTTACACATGATCCATTGGAAAGTGTCACATAGACGATGGATGGAATAAAGTGGACGGGAATCCAGAAAGCGTTTGAGAAAAGGCTTTCAAGTTTCGTCTCATCATTCATCGATCGATGACCGCACAATCATCTCAAGTTTGTACCGTCCGGTGGATAAAGTGCATTTTTGCATGAATGTAAGCCTTGTACAGTGATAAAAATAATCCCTTGACAACCTGCCATCTGATATATGTCACTGAGAGTAACCGCTATCGTGAGACGAGGGGCTCTGACAATTCTGGCCGGGCTTTAGTTTGATCGAGGGATCTAAGGGGTCCTTCCAAACGGTTGATGTCGCAGAGATTAATAGGTTGGATAAAAAGAATTGGAAGAAAAAAAAGATGCTGTTGTTGCTATTTTGGGTCCATGGAATGAATCTTCCTTGTAAATCAAATCACCTAGTGTTACTTGCTCTTTCCCTTCCCTTCTTTCGTCTCAAAAATTGACTCCATTCTTACATTTCTTGATTTCTTATCTTATCAAATCCGTATCCATCCATTGGCAATGTCACTCACTCACGCACGATTCACGACCGACCGAACGATTGATCATTTGATATGCAAATTTTGACGGTCGAACTCATAGCGGTGTGATATGTGATCGGGAACTCCGTCATCCGTTCGTTACCTATCCGTGATTCCCCACAAAGTCACTTGGGTGAGAAGTGGACCTTTCGTCTTTCATTGAATCCATCCCGCTCTGATTTTCATGGATCCATGTTCATGAAAGCACGATGTACCTTCTCTTCTCCTCACTTCACCTCACTTCACCTCACCTCACCAAGACGGCTCGTGGCGATGGACATGATACATCTCCCTACCGAGGTATACCTACACATTCATACATATATTTATAGAAACCCCATATCAGGTATGCAAGCAAAGTAGCATCCAAGTCAAAATCCAAGCAACAAAGAGACGAGAGCAAGGTATGCAGAGACTCCCAAATCATTACCACCCAATGATTCCCACCAGGGTCAAAACTCAAAAGAACTATGTGATCACAACGGGAGAATATTCAATAGCTTGCTTACTATTGTGTGATAACGATAACGACGAGCCTATCTCGACATCGCAAAATCCCTTCCGATTCGGCTTTAGAAGAGCCATCGAAGACATTAAACATCGGAAGAGCTAATATTAGGCGTTTGCAGATGTGACTTGTTCTTAGCGTGACATTGGCTCATTCTCTTCGGGTACATATATAACACGTGAGCTGATATCCATCTCAAGTGGGCTCAGTGAGTGGGCTTACCTTTTCTGCACGTCTTTACATCTGCACGTCGCTTCTGCTCAGAAACTAGAACCAATTGGGGTGGCGGTGACATCTTTTCATCTTCATCTCGTCGATGCATTCAATTGCAATCTTGGAAGAGAACTTTCAAGTATCCTCGACTGGGTTTCGTAAAGCGCGGGGCTGATTATCGGCCTCTTCTATTTTCTTCTACTCCAGGGTGATAACCATACATGCTATACAAATTGGTCAAGGCCGACCAGGACAGCTGTCATGGCGGAGCAATTGGCTGTCTCACGTTGCGCCGTCGTTAGCCAATACCTAAACAAATGTAGGTCTATCAGTACTAATTCATAGCCACACAGCATTACTCGGATTATCAACTGGATCAGAATTCTGGTGGCGAATTATCGGTGTCCATCGTATGGTATACTTTGATCGACAGCCGCTGTTCTCCTGTACCTGCAAATCTCTCAGCCATTCGAATGATCATCTTCAATAGCCCAAATTCCGACCGGCACAGTTCGCTACGACATAGCAATTTTATATCCTCTACACGAGATTTAATTGGAATCACAGCATTTGATTTGGATTGTGCGGTGATGAAGCATAGAACCTCTTCATGTCTCACGAGTTCATCATCTTCACAGTCAATGATTGTGTTATCATCCTTAGCTTGATTGTATTGTACAAACATTTTTGTTCTCATCCTACATTCCCATACAATTGAAGATAACTTTCTAAACCTGTGTCGGATCAAACAAGAGTAGCTAATAAGTAATAGCCTTGTATCTAAACACTTATAAACTTCCATCTCTTCACACCTATTGAAGTCTTCCAGTGGAAGCAACATTGTGGAGTGCATCCTCAGATGCAGTTGTCCTTCATTTGAGTCGATATGCTACTCTGCTATCACCAATTTCTCTTCAAAAGCTTCTTCTTCATGTCGAGTCCATTGGATCACTTCTTTCTTTTACTTTGGGAAAGGTCGGTCTGATCTTCCGTCCCACTCGTCTTGTGGTTTCTTCTTTCTTGACTCCTGACATATCGGTCATATAGACGCCTCTCCGTTTCTGTGTTATCCCCTGAATCGCTTGGGTTTAGCTGTGCAGCTTCCCTTCTAACATTATCGTGTATGTCCCATTTTTTGCTACTACTGTCGCTATTGCTATGTCTGCTGGATGTGTAGGAAGACCGTTGATTTCCACTGCCATATATTTTATCGTTCAACTCATTTTTCTCTTTTTCATATCTTTCTTCTTTCCTAATTTTCTTGCTTCTAAAAGGAGTGGACATCTTTGCTATGGTAAGATGGATGAGACTAATACAAAGTAACCGTTTGCAACGAAAGAAATGATATTATGATATCGTGAATACTGAGATCTGATCTGACGAAGTATGATTGTATCAGCATCGATAGAAAAGAAGCCGCATTATATGGAAACTCCAACACTACAACGGTCGATAAGAAACGCCTGAAGGAATTCCCATCTCGTGTATACCGACGATACAATGGTTCGATCGAGGCTTGTCGCATGTACATGAACAGAGTGGTCTGTCGAAGAACATGTTTTAGCCGCTTGCAAGCTAAGCTGGAGAGTAACCATAAAAATATGAATTTTTGGTTGCGAGGCGGACACATGTATGTATGCGCAAATCGTGAGAAATAATTATATCATAAAGTCCCCAGCTGAAAAAGCATCAACCATTCATTCGCATGTGCAAGAGCGAAATCATTAACCTCAATCAATATCCGCACTCGCGACCGTTTTGCATCTGATCGTTCAAACAAACACCGACAATTAACCAAAATGAGCCAACACATTGTCTTTCGTGTCAGTTAACATTAACAAATATGTCATATGCATCATTATCATTGCATTCTTTGTATTGTACGGATAATTGAAAATCGATTGACTTTGTAAAGTACGCATGGAAAACGAAAAGTATCCCACGTATACTTCACGCGATGATTCGAAACGAGAGAAGAAAGCGCGAGTAAGATTTCTCAGTGAAAATTTAGTGTTTGAGCTCTCATTTCGCCCACAACAAATAAGAGGTGTGGGAAATGAGATTTCTGGTCGGAAGATATTATTGGCGCTTCGCTCACATATAGGTCGGTCTATACATGTACATGATCGAATGCATACTGCTATCATCCCACAATGCCATGATTTGAGTGATCGAATATGTCAACATATCACAAATAATTCATAGACAAGGTTCCACGATTCAAGATGGATCGATTCGCTACACATTACAGTACCGCTCATCCATGATAGAGACTGCCAAGAGCATATACATATACGCTAACCTCTCATTTGCATACACGCCGGCTTCATTCATCGCTCTCCTATCGAATCCGTTTCCCAGATACGACTCCAATCCGGATGAGTCCACTCCACGTCCCTACTCCTCCTCAACCAATTTTGCAAAACCAGATACAAGATCCTGAGATCGACCAGCCTTTCGGCTTCCCTATCTGGCAAAAACTGTTTGAAGCCATAGATGATATCCAGATAATGGACGTCCAGCAGGTTGACCCACTGGATCGTCGTCGCCTTGGTCGAGTGATGTATGACAAACGCATGCATGATGTTCAAAAACTCGTCGTAAATTCCGGGGCGAGTGTATTGGAAAGCATTCTGTGGTGTTGAACAGCTGAAGTCAGCATGTGTCACCATTGGACAAGTCAAGGATATGATACGGCCTACCTTAATTTGAAGGACGTAGTTTGATGCGTCTCTAACAGCTGGATGCCGTCGTGTATCCATGTTGTTCTCTTCGCTTCGATATTATCAATTTGTGTCAGGAAACCCTTGCTGCCTATCTTAGATGTTGAAGTTAGCCCCAGACATTATATCCCCGTTTAGCACCCACCTCTTGGCTGTCGCAGTCGAGATTGTGGAGATGTGGGCGTAGTAATGTTGACGTTGACGTTCAACAAAGAAGATGACACTACAAGAGTAGAAGCGGCTTTGGCAAGATAAGAGGATGATTTGGATGTTGGAGAGTTGAAATATTGCTAATGCTGCTAATGCAACAGGTGTTAGAAATGCTGGTAGAAGGAAAATGCTTAAATCTTTGTATGCCAAGAGTGAATGAAGTTCCAGTGAGTCTTGTAATTAGATTGAGAAGAAACATACTTCATGGTATCTCTGAAAATAAAGAAAGGAATGGTATTGTGTTTAGAAGTATAAGCTTCTTAGAAAAGTGCAAGTACTAACAAGACCTATCATGGAGGAGAGGTTATATCTGTTCGAAGGACCCAATATAAAATGCATGTTTAGAAGGAACGAAGCAGTTGCTATTACCATGGGTACGATCAAGCTTCCTCATTTGTGTCACTGGTGGCATCCCTCACAAACTCTTTCCCAGCATATACAGAGGAAACCCCAGCTCTTGCCGAAAAGGCGGCATCGGTCAAGGCAAGTGAGTGTTTTAATTAAGATATAAATTAGATGAAGAGAATAGATGGATGGATTATGGGCTGCAAAGTCGTCCTTTGAGAATATTGTCCGCTCTTTTTTCGCTCTCTGTTGGCATCATCACATCAAAGCATACGAGTTATTGCTCCTCATGCACACATCTCAATCGCCTGCGAAAAGAAAGACACATTTGTATGATCTTGATTTCTTTGCGCGGTCTGCAATGTAGCGCTCTGATGTTATCATGCAGATACATATTTAACCTTGTTCGTGGAAGATAATTCATGACCACCCAGAGAGCCTGCCAATAACCTACGTTTCCTCGGAGATTGGAAAATAAGCATCTTACCCACGAAGACTCAGTAGTTACCATCCACCAAGCTCCTGTTGGATTCGTTCAAGCATTTGAGTGCCGTGGAACCCCATACCCCGTTTTACTTTAGGAACATCAAACTTAATCAAGTCCTCTTTAACACCTTCTCCAAGTCCCAAATCTTCATTCTTGATGCTCAAATGATTAGACCATTTTTCTTCATCCTTGACATGTGCTTCATCTCCAACGCGCTTCTTGTATTTGTAGTCTGCACATACTTGGCCTTGATGAGACGCATGGCATGGGATACAAGTTTCAACGAGACATCTAGCACAAGTGCGGGATTTGGTGGGACTATTAACCCGGTAGACTTGTTCACAGTCTGCGGTTGGACAATGATGAAAATCATCGCGATGATGACGAATGTACGAAGTGAACGATGCTTCAAGTAACTGCTCAAAACTTCTGGATGATAGATTCTGCTCAATCTCTTGCAGAGAGAGAACAACATCGCATCCGACAGCCGTACAATTGATAGATACCTCTTTGTCGCTAGATGTGGTCGAGGAGCATAGATGCTCAAAGCATTGAAGGCAATACAAATGGCTACAGTTGATACGGATTGGACACTCAGCAGGACACCAGCAGACGCTGCAATTGTCTTTATCGTCGCCTGTCTCTATCTTGTCGATCTTGCCAGCAGCAGCGCTCCTGGACTTTATGACTGCCATGGCAGTGTGATAGTTCTTAGGACTACCAGCAAGTAAGATCTTCTTTGGATTCGACAATGTATCAATCGAAGCAACATCTTTTCCAAGAACTGATACTATTTGATCAAACCCACCACCTGCTACCCACGAAAAGTCACTTGGAGTTAGCTTAATAGCATAGCCTTCTACTCCTGATGTGATAATTTTGTGAAGTGTGTGTTGAGCACTGTCGATATCTCTGGGCGAACCGTACAGCCAAAGTTGTTGTCTTGTTCTATCTCGATCAATAACAACGTTATGATCGTTTGAAACTCTCTTGATCTTCATCAATCCGATTGGTTGCATGAAGTAGTCGTTCCAAACTGGCTTACCCTCTTCTAGAGCCACCGTACCGATCAATACCTTCTCCAGCTTATTTCTGGCGTTGGAAAAGTTCTCTCCGGGCTCTCCCTTAATCTTCAAAGTTGTGAACTTCTTCGCGACATCAGTGCTTGGGTATGCTCTGATGGTAACTCGCTGCCCTATCAGTGACTTCTTTTCATCTTCAACTTGCGACTGTATAGCCGATTATATCTTTGTGATGACCCTAAAACGAGTCGAAACGATTTGTTGAGCCATGATTTTTCCCTTTCCCAATATCTCAATGTTTCTATTGTTTAATTGTGCGATCGCCTCCCGGGCATCTGACTCGTCTTGGAATCGTACCCTTACTTTGACTCTCTTAGCTGCCGGATCTTGAACAGGGTCCCAAGACTCCACGGGGCCAATGACTGAGCATAATTTCTTGACATATTCACGAGACACCTCGTCAGATGCTTCATAGCTCGGTCTGCCAATTTCCAATTCATCTGGTCGATATTTCTCATCCATCGCACCTAAGATGTCCTCTTTGTCTGCAAACACCGGTACATTCTTCAAGATACATAGGAATCTGTGTTTTTGATCGGTCAAGATATGAGAGATAACCGGCGATTCGCAAGCCAAATGTTTGCCTACGACTCTGTAGTAACCGTCGTTAAAGTTGATGCATATCATATTGGCGACATCCTCATTTGCATATTTCAGGATGGCCATCTTAGAAGATCGATACCATGACAAAAACACTTCACGAAAGTCGACTTCACTTGAAAATCCAGAGACGGGAAACAAACTCGTAGGGACTGGGCTCGCCTTTATTTGGGAGTACATCTTAAGTTTTCTCCAGCCAGATTCCAATTCTTCGCTTAGAACCGAGCCGACGGTGGAATCTTCAAGTCGCAGATAGGCAAGAACGGAGGGCGGAGTACCAATTCTAGTAATTCTAATGCAAATTCCACATGTTCCAAGGTCGAGTCTAGCTAGCATTGTCTCAATGTACTCGATGTTGGTATCCTGTGGCAAGCCGGTGATTCGGATAGTTGTAAAGTCAGACGGGACCGCAATTTTGTAGACTTTTGCTCCATCTCCAAACATTGTAAAAGCTCCAGAGATTGCGCGTGCAATCATACCTTTTGGTACATTATCCTGGATAATTTATCAGTTTCAACTTCAATATACTAGCAAGTTGAAAATGGGACAAGCCATACATAATTCTTAGTGACTGCAGATGGCACATTCAGAACAGCAAATGATGTATCGATGATGGTGGAAGAGAATGGGCGAGTCTTCTTGGTATTTTGCGTATCTGGAAGCTTGGTTGCCTTGTGGTCAGGCTCAATTGGGCTATGTAGGTAAAGGCAATCGCCTCCCTTTGTACACTTTCCTCTGGCAAAGAAACTGCAGGTTGTGCGGATCCGAGCTTTTGAAGAAGCTTCCACTTCAATCTCATGACTGAAAGGACAGTTATCACCCCTTTGACATCTTCCTCTTACAAAAAAGCTACACAGTGGAGTGGCAGATAGTTTTTGCGACGGGGTTGCTGGTTCAATTCCATGGCTAAAAGGACAGTCTTCACCCTTCTGACAATGACCCTTCGCAAGGAACTTACAAGCGATAAGTTTTGTTGCTATAGGACGTAGATTCTGACCAGAAGGTTGATTTTCATCGCTTGACATCAACGAAAGAATTGAATCGGGCGTGTTTGTTGTGATGGTTGTATCATGGCTGTATTGACAAGTATTGCCACGGCCGCATCCAGTAGAAGTTACGAAGTACTTACAAGGTAGCATCATGGAGGTTTGATCCTCTCGTCGGATCGATGGCGTTTGAAAGTTGTTGATGTGTTGATTTCCTTTGGTAGGAATCGTGGAATCGTTTGTGATGAACACTTATTTTTTCATCTTACAAACTTTGAGTTGTATCTGAAGATGAAACGAGAGTGAAAATATGGCTTTGCTGGAAATCGTGATAGTGAATATATCGAAACCTGGCAAGAGAATGGGATTGATTTCCGGTCCACCTTCGAAATTACCCGGCGATACGAATACTTCTTGGATGATACCAATGATCAGAAAGAATGTGATAGCTCTTTCTCACTGTTTATCTTCCGCAATCAAAAGGAATCCATGCTGGAAATAGTAGAAATTACGCGCTCTCATACCTCACCGTCGCGGCGAAGAGTGAAGATCAAAGAATATCTGCCAAAGTGCCGATCTAAGTATAAATTGTCCCTCGATTGATAGTGTATGTAAAGGAGGATAGGTTTGAGATGAGAGTATTATTTGATGTTATATCGCAAAAAATAGGTGTGATTGATGGGTAGCGATTTATGAAGTGTGATGAATCATCTTGGTGAAGTCGTTTGTTTGTATACGCTCAGCAGTTCAATCTATTGCGCTAGGGAACTTGACCTTTGAAGCAAGAGCGTCAGATGAGGTAGAGCCTTCCAAGTTTGTCAACAGATTTTTGTTCATTTGTGACTTTCTTCCTTCTCTTCTTCTTCTTCTTTTCTTTCCTTCCCTTCCCTTCCCTTCCCTTCCCTTCCCTTCCCTTCCCTTCCCTTCCCTTCCCTTCCCTTCCCTTCCCTTCCCTTCCCTTCCCTTCCCTTCCCTTCCCTTCCCTTCCCTTCCCTTCCCTTCCGTGTCCCCCTTTGCTTTTTTTCTTTCTTCGCTTTCTACCTCTCTACCTCTCATCTCTCAAACTTCCCAGACTTCTCAAATCAATCCTATATCAAGCTTTCCCATTCTACATACATTTCCGAGCCCAGATGTCCCGATGCCAATAACCTATCAAATTCCTCCTGATTTGCCCCATTTCGCAACCTTAAAGGCCATTTCGCAACCTTAAAGGCCATTTCTCAACCAATATATTCTTGGTTTTTATTTTTAACCCTTCCACTTTACTGATTTCATACAAGCAACACTCCTTCATAAACCTATTAAAGAGCTCGTCAAGGCCTTGAAACCGAGATCTCGCATCGTTGTACCTCAGAAAGTCTGCATTGTAAGGTTGAAGCATGTCTGATTGAATTGTCATGTACCTATGTGATTTTGCTGAATCAGTTGCTATGCTATCAATGTAATCCTTGTCAGTGCGGCTTTCATGGACAGCGTTGAGGAATAAAACAAGAAATGTGGCATGCGGATTCTGTGATTTACGCTTCAGGTAAGGAGCGAAAGTCATCAGAAGTTTTCGGGGTCCAATGTAGCCACGGTCTCCAATATTTGAAACCTGTGAACTATCACCAATCTGTACTACTTTTGCAACCGATTGAAGATTACCTCAATTCTGTCGAAATAGTATTTGCCAACGCCTCGTCCCTTCATGATACCTGGCAGATCGACTGCGTCAAGTTCGAATAGTTGAAAGCGGATTTTCAAATTCTCAATTCGCTCGCAAAAGCTTTGAAGTTGATCTTGAAGATAGAAATAAAGGCTGCCATAGATATCGTTTCGAGCCATTGAAGGTTTCGAAAGGTGTCCTTCGAGAGGCCATCCTTCCAACGGATCGGCAGAATCCATCATAGGCCAGAATTCAGTGCTCTGAAATAATGTTCTGTCATTGAATTAGCAAGTAAACTTTCAAAAGACTTGAAGATATGTACAGATTTGGCATATTGAAATCCTTGCGAGAATGTCCGAAGGGAAGAAGTATGCCATCAGTACGGAACTGAGTAGCACAGACACGCCATGCAGGTGGTCGGGTATAAAATTCTCGCTCGATATAATCTCTTCTCGAGGGTGGCAATGTAGTGTCAACCATTACTTTTTGTGCCTTGCTAGCTGATAGTCCATCTGGAATTCTGAAAAAAGAGGGAAGAAGATCCCAAGAAGCCTTCGGTAATACCAAACTTATGCTGCGAGTGCCGAATGTCCAAGTTTTGGATTGCAAAGATTGCGCAGGGCGGCCAGCTACCTTTTCACAAACATCTTCAATCAGCGGGAGGACTTTTTCTCGAAGTTTTCCCAAGTACGACTCGGTTATGAATGCAGAGTACCAGATATGAATCATGATGTCTGCTGCTTCCATCGGGTCGAATACGAGAGCTGTGAGGAGCAACATTGCATTCCGGGCGACAATGTCAAAATCCTTGTCGTTAATTATAAGCTCACATCTGCCCTCATACGCAATTGGAAGTTCGACGAGAGACTTGACAACATTTCTAATATCCCCAGATGCTGTAACCTTGTCAGTCCGCAATTTTCCCCTGGACTTGACACTTACCCGCAAATAAAAGATTGAGTTGTTCTGGCAAATCTTTTCCTTCATTCTTACAACTCTGAATTATATCAATGGCAGGAACACTACCCCATAAATACTTCTTTTTCCCGTGTTGCACCAGAGTCACCCACTGTTCAGCTAGAGCAGGATCATCGTTGTCTCCAATAAATGCCAGACGTCGTTTCTCTACATCCCATTGTGGTCTCCAAGACTTCTTTATAAATGGATATTTGCAATCCTTCTTATGGGGTTTCCAGTGTGCAACTTGGTAATGTTTGCTGCAATATTGAACCAGAAAGCACCCATTGCAAGCTTTCGAGGCGATATTAGTACATGGAATCCCTCCATCATCTTCATCTTGATCAACATTGGCGCACGTAACTTTTGGGTGCTTCTGAGAGGAACCAGCCATGATGATCTCAGGACTATTGAATACTGTTAAATACAATGTGCGACGAAAAATGGAGAGTCGACTAGAGCCTCTTTATATCAGTTCAATCTCCGCTCGCAATTACTCATAGAACAAAATAATACAAGAATAAACGTCCATTACAGGGTATTCATTGGAGCCACATCAATCAAAAACCCGATGTAATATATCGATGGGGGTCTGCACCTTACCGTCGCCAATGTAACGGAGCAAACACATTACTGCAATCATCCGAACGTAGCCGAAACACGTTCACAATTTCTTGTTTACTTTCCAGGGCTTTGGTCCTTGATTTAGAGCACATTCTCTGGTAGATTTTCTGCATTTTGCGTTCTTGATAATCATATTACATTTCGTTCAAAAATCATGATTAGAATCTCACATTAGACATAGCGGCAGATAAAGACCAATGCTCTTTCACCCCTTATTCCTCTCTAAAAAATTCCAACCAAAAAGGCACTACAAGTCAATAATAAAGTCTTAAGTCTCAATAGTCCATTTTATTCTCTTCTTGCTTTGAATTACAAGAAAAGATTTCACTTCTCATACAAAATTTCAATTCCTAACAACCTCATCTCAAGATCGAAAATCGCCACTTCAACCGTTGACGTAGCCGGAAGGATTTATCGGTCTTTGATGTTAAAACGGTCCAGGAACCATGGATAAATGTTTCAAAGAAGTTCTGTCTTACATAACTTCAAACGCGACTGGTAATGTTTTAATGAATGATGAAAGATGAACTAAAAATCCGGCCGCCAATCGGCCTGGAAAGAAAAACTTTCCTCGGGTCTATAATCTCTTTCGCAAGAGCGATTTGATGATTGGGTTGGATTTGGCTATGCTATGGTCTCGAGACCTGCCTTTGAACCGCCAACAATATTCTTTTGCCGATGCGGGATTTTGCTGCTTATATGTTTGTATGTTTTTGTTGAGCTGTTGGTGGCTGATGTTCTCAATTTTGACGGATCGTTCAACCCAGATATTCATTTTCTTGAATTCACAATTGTCACATTTATACCTCAATTTGCTTTACCATTTCTATGTTAAAAGAACACTTACACAGTCATAGTGGCTGTAGATTTATATCCGCATAATTCCAATCCTCTTCTCGACTTCTTACACCACCCTAACCATCACTGTCTCGTCCATTCCATCCAATCCCATCATCATCATCATCACCATCAATTTTTCTCTACCCCTCCTCCATCCCAAGCCATGCCCCTGAAACCCACCCACTATCAAGTCTACAGTCTCTCCACGAGTAGCACCCTCCTCAGCACCGAACTCATCTTCATCTTCCATCCTCGCGCCAAACGCTTTACCAACTCCTTTAAATTCCTCTACCACGAATCTGCCTCCCCCTCTCCTCCCGCTCCTCTTCCATCCCCCTCCATACTCTCACCCAAACCTCCGCGCCCAGCAACCTCGAATACCTTGGCTACCTCCGCGGCAAAAGTAGCATGAAGAAAGCATACGCCCTCGCTAAAACCGTGCACCATAGTATCAAGCGTCCATTTAAGAAATTCACGAATGATGTTGTAGAAATATGGATCCAAGAGGGTTTGTTACGCTGGGAGCGACGTCGCATACCGTGTGAAGTTGACGAGTCGATTTTGGATAAGAGGACTCTTGAAACTAGGGATGAGAAAGGAAGACTCTCAAAATACGCAGAGGAGATGATTAGGGCGGGGGAGGACGAGAATGGAGAGGGTGGGGATGATGACTCTCCATCTTCATTCTCGTCCTCACTTGCCTCCTCCTCCCCATCTCAACGCTCCCTCGGCCGCTCAACGCGCGAATCTCACCGCCGCCTCTCTCGAGCCCGGACAACCCACCACCCCCCCTCAAGCACCGACAGCTGGGCCCAAAAATACTCTCCCAAACCCCCCAAACGCTTCTCCATCTCCGTCTCCCTTTCCGCAAATTCAAGTTCAAATCCCCGACCCAAATCTTCATCTCACTCTCGTTCTCATCCTCGCTCTCGCGCTCCCCCCTCTCCCCACCACGGCCAGTCCTCCGACTACGATTCCGGAATCGGCATGTCCGAAGACGATTTCAACCCCCACGATGACGACGATGCGCAATCAAATATATCCAAATCATCCATCAACCCCGGCTCATCCATCTCGCATTCCGATCGTGCCTATTCTTCTTCCCACTCCTCCCATCGCGCCCACCCCAAAAAGGATGTCTCGCCCCCTATCTCCGTCGTCGAGGACCAGCTCGAACGAGAAGAGGCGATCCGTCGTCGCATCTTTGCAAATAAGAAAGCTGAGTACATGAATTCTTCTTCATCTTCTTCATCTTCTTCTCATCACCCCCCTCCTTCTTCTTCTTCAGGTTCAGGCTCACAATCCCGATCACGAGCACAATCACGAAGAAGTCAAACCCCCACCCAAGCATCCCACATACCGCGTTCTAATAACCCGTTTCGACTTTCGGTTGCGGGAGAGGCGAAGCCAGATCCGTGGGTTGGGCGATGAGATTGATTGTTGGGGTTGTAGGACACAATTGAGTAGTATGGGTAAGATGTAGTGGGTATCAATGAGTCTCTGTGTTGATTTTCTTGGACGGAGAGAGGTAGTTTGTTCTGGTAGCTTATCGAGCTAGGTTATTGAAGGAGAAGACTATCATTCCCAGCTCCTAGCATTGGAATAATTTGAATAGTATAATTAATACATTACATTATAGACAACATAGTTTAACATCAGCAATAAGCGATCCTCTCCATCTTATACCGTACTGTATCATACAATATCATAATATAACATACCCTCATTCCAAACTCCACCCCACGTAGGTATCATTTCGCCAAAATTCAAACCCAGCCTCACAAACCATCCATATTTCATGAACTCAAACCCTTATAAATGTCCTCCTCTTCCCCAGCCTCTAGAGCCACCCATGGAACCCTGGTTTTCCCCCTTGTATCCTCCACTGCTCTCCCTTCCAGATCAATGCCCCAACTGGTCCAAAAAACAGAAATAACACAACTGCAAATGTAAACCACGCCCATGTAAACCCTACTTCATCTGCGAATGGCAACGCGAAATATCCGACTACGAATGAGAGACCGCGGGAGAGATTGAAGAGAACGCCTGTTTCGGGAGTTTGTGGCTTATAGCAGTCTGAGACGTAGGCATAGAGGGTTGTGGAAGCGATTTGAAGACCGAAGACACCTGAGGAGGAATGTTAGTCAAGGTTAAGTAAAGGAAGAAGTGGGGTTGAAGCGGGAGAATAAGGTTTGAAAAGAAGGTTCGAAGCGGGGTTTCATGGGGAAGGATAGCGAAGAGGGGTTCAGAGAAAGAGAAATATTGAGGCACTAAAATGGAAAATAAAACCAAGTAAATCATAAACATACCAAGAGCCAGTCCAATAAGCGGAATAATAAAATGAGTTTTCCCCACTGTAGCTCCGAAAACAATCAATCCCATTGGCATGAATACCGCCGATAAACAACAAAGATAAAGTCTATATTCCGGTTTTCTTATATCTCCATTTTTCTTCGCCATACGATACATGACATAGTCACTTGCTTTTCCAGCGCTGAATTCTCCCAATAAACTACCAATCATGAGTGAGACTCCCAGACAGGCACCTATTGGACCAGGCTTCAGGTTATAGAACTCGGTGTAGATGGCGGCGATAGAGATTGCAGGCATGACATTGATGAAAGTCCATCCCCATGTGTAGTACCAGAATGGAAAGAGAATGGAAGGGTAGCGGAGCATGTAAAAAGATTCTAAGAAGTGGGAAAATTGGAGTGAGCGACCAGGGAGACAATTCCCGCGAAAATCAAAGAGAAGTTCATAGTACGTGCGGGTTCTGGTACGTGTGGAGAGGTAAGATGGGTCGCGAGAGAAAAGAGTTTCGGGAAAAAGGAATATGGCGAGAAGGAGAGAAACGCAGGTGCTGATGGCTCCAATCCAGTAGTCCCATTGCCAGCCTAGGGATGACCCTAGGAAACCGCCAACTAAATTGATTATGTTAGCTGGTTTTTCGAGGAAAGCGTAAAACTCAAGGTGACTTGACTCACTAATCGCAGCCACATGAGCACCGTTTGTAACAAAGAGGGAGTATACACCAGTAGCTTCACCTCTCTGATGGAGAAAGAACATATCATTTACACAAGCGGTACCCACCGACATCATTCCACCGAACCCAAAGCCACAAAGAGCACGTGTACCCACAAGTTGTGAAAAAGTGTTTGAACGAGCCGATGTTACTCCTCCAATAATAGTCAGAACTATTGCGAATAAGGTGATAGGTCTACGACCATAGATGTTCGCCAAAGGCGCATAAATGAATGGTGAAACACCACCCATGATGATTGCCGTAGTTGTGCTGTACGAAGCCACTTTTGGACTAACATCAAGCGCATCACTCAGGAGAACCAGACTTGGATTCACGAGTGCGGCATTGTAAGGTCCTAGGAATGCCATGTAGCCAACTTGAATCAGGACGGCCCATTTGAGCCATGTTGGCCAATTCTAGTCGATCATCAACTTTGTACTTTTTTTATCGAATGGATGAAATCTGGATGAGATGAAGGGATGTATTTGGAATCTTGAGATAACCCGGCAATATCGGGTCATGATTAGAAAATTACAACATACCAATGGATCATCTTTAAAGCGACTGGGCTGGGGTACTAATGGTAATCCATGTTGATCAAGCTTGATTTCTGAGGTTGGAGATGTCGAGTTTGATTCCTCCACACAAAGGGCAGATTTTTGATGAGAGTCAAATTGGTCAATGTTTGATTGACTTGATGACATATTGGAATTTTTGATGCGAAGACAAGAACTGCCGACCTTTATCCTTGATCATGAAAGGATTGTTGGTTGACCAAAAGGGTGAAAGTAGTTTTGAGAGCTTTGAGAGTTTGGAAAGATTTCGAGGACCAATTCCGAACTACATGCTCATGTTGATATTCTTGTACTATGAAAAGAAAGGGCATTAGCTCCCTTGCTTGTACATGTATATATATAAGTATATATATATATATATATAAAAGAAGATATGTTTATGTATCTTTTCGCGGACTTTGTGTAAAGGAATCGTTCCAAGTGTTATATCTCGTACTATAGATTGATGATAACTATATGGAAACACAGCAAATGAGCATAAGCCTTACGGAGGTACCATACGATATCTTGTCTTCTAACAACCCTCCAGATGATAATGGAATGATCAACGAAGTGTACTCCGTACAGCAACCAAACAAAAAGACGGTACAACATACCTCTTTCTGAACGATCCGATCCGACAGAGGACCCGAGAGAATGGTAAAGTGAGACCAATGAGGCACGGGGATATGTATAAACAATGGTATGTATGATAAATATATGTTACAATAGCTTGACAGGGCAGGCAGGACAAGGTAGAAGAAAACAGGGGATTGTGTGATCAATTGGGATTAGTTTATGGTTTGGACATGTACGGAGCATGTAATCTGTATGTGTACATGTACTCCGTATGTATGTAAGGATTAAAATGTTCTCGATCGATGGATGAGATTTGATAATTGAAAAAGTGGATTGATAGATTGATAGATTGATTGATTGACTGATAGAAATATTGGTAGATTGATAGACTCAATAACCTTATGAATTGAACCAACTGTTTTTGATACAAGGAATACAGCGTAAGAAGTAAAATGACCGAGTAGAATCGATCGTTCGCTATGGGAGATATTGTAGGTAGGAAATAGCGACGGCAGTTGTTTAAAGAGGAAGAAGAAGTAGACGAGGAAGAAGAAGTAGACGGAGGAGAAGAAGAAGAAGGGTAGGAGAAGAATACTAAACCGGTATGTCTTTCTTTTTTACTCGAATGAAGGAACGATGTGATGATGGACACACCCAAGCATATATTGTTATATCAACACATCTGCTTTTTCTTTTCTCTCTCTCTCTCTTTTCTTTTTCTTTTTTTCTTCTTCATTCTTTCCCTATTTTATAGCTAGTCGGCGGAGTGCCAATCTCAGCTAATAAGTTGTATTGGATACGAAAAAGCTTGTTGGATACGGAAGAGAGAAAGAAAGACCTTGGGAGTAACTCAAAAGAGTGAGAGGTGAAAGAGGGGAGAGGGAACGGGAAGGGGAAAGGCGTTTATGGGGCGACTGAGTGAAGACTTGGCCCGAACTTGATTAAGTTTTGAACTTTGATTTTGATTTCCACTTTTAATGACCCATATCCAGCTCTGATTCGCTCGCTTACAAAATATCTTACGCACTCTCTGTGGATCAAAAATGGAGACATGGTACAAAATACATAGCACGGTCGGGTGGTACAAAATGTGCGAGTGTGCCAAGTGATGATTGATTATCTAAGCAAGAGTACAGTACCTACCTACCTGGGACCTACTAGATAATAAAAGCAGCGACTCGGACTAACAAATCAAGACTTCAGGTGATGATGGAATTGTGTGATTTTGGATCATTTCCGATAGCCACCGGTAGCGGAGGTGTGTTACACGCCATACCTAGCTACCTTATTACTAAAGAGGTGTGTTATTTTACCGGCATGTCTAGATACGAGGTAAATCGTAAATCGTTGAAATTCTGTTCACGGAGTACGGATTATAGATTATAGGGGGGCTCGGGGGCAATCAATAGATACTAGGTACCTGGACATTTACTCGTAACAAGTCGCAGTACTTAAATGACTGGAGACGGGCTCCAGTGTATCGGTACCAACGGGGGAAATGAGGTCTAATGGCTAATTGATCATGGGCAATGGTCAATGGATAACGGATAATGCGTGGATAATGGTGAATGGCATGTTACGTTTCATTGAGATTCCTCTGAGATTCCTCAAATCAAACATTCAATTCAGTTCGGAAAGAAATGGTATCCAATGAATCATGAGAGTATAGTAAACAAACTATATTGAATCATGCCTACCTACCTACCCAGTAATCTAACCAAGTATTGGAATATGTGTCGATGTAAAAATCGATAAGATAAGAATGGTTCACTCGCTCGATGCATCAACACTTGCTCGGGTAGATCTCCTTATTTTTATATGTACCAGATATACTTAAGTACTGGCGATGACCAATGGCCATAGGTTTTACCTGAGAATTTGATGGGTGACATTCCCCTCAATCTACGATAGCAACTGATGAATATCATGTATTAGATTTACTTTTTTGAAGACTTCCACCTCGTCAAGAACTACCAACTTGAGATGGATGACACCTACTAAGTACTTAAATGCTAGGGATCTACTATGATGAGCAGCTGGGGGGCGAGGAGGGGATGCATTTGGTGTAAGGACTGGCTCGAGACTGGTAGCTTAAGATCTACCTGTCATTGAAACCTATTGATTCTCTCCGGAGCAAACTTCCAACTTTACGCATCTGTCTGCAGTAGCAGCATACTTTCATACTAAGGTAATGTTCCGATTAGGTCATTCCCGGGGGTTGATCATAGGGAAGTCTTAAGTCTTACAAGCTACAAACAAGTTACAGTACAAGCAGGTCCAAGTCCAAGTCCAAGCCCAAGTCCAACATCATAATATCGTTAGTATTCGGAAATAAGAGGAAGACCTACTGGGCTGCTATCTAGGTACCCTTGGTACATGTACAATTTCAAGGGTATCGATACGGAGTAGAGAGTGCTGCATGCTACTAGGTACCTATCTATACCTACATCTACCGGCAAATCATTGACTCTAATTGTTATATTCTTACCTCTCTCACGCGACGCGACGGACAGTTGATTTTGTCCATATAGAGCCTCTGTATACCTAGATAGTCCCTACTCGCTAGTACTTATTAAATCCGTCTTCCAACGTGTTCAAACTGGTAGGATGTAATGGATCCTGGTTAAGGTAAATGACCATCTACCTACCTAGGCTCCTAGGTAGGAAGGATATATGTATGTCCGTCGCTATGTGCCGGTACTTTTTAATGTTCACACGACATGACCACCCACTGGCACTGGCACTGGCCCAAAACGATGGCGAGAAAAAAAAAGAGGCTAATGAAAAAAGTTGATAAGTCAGCATCAGCATCAGCATCAGCACCAGCACCAGCACCAGCAACCAACATCGACTTCTCTCCCCTCTCCCCACTACCTACCTACCTGCCTACCTACCTATGATAAACCTACTAGGCATTTCTCTTATCCTCAATTATTTCATTGCCCTTTCCTAATCACCATAATATTACCTCCTTGTACCTACCTAGTACTTGCCTAACCCATCACTCAAATTTAAACCCTTCATACTCCTTCTTCCTTCTTCCTTATACTAGCCATCTATTCCGTATTGTATCTTTCCCCATTTATATTGGATTCCATATCACACACGAGATCTGAGATCTGTCAATCGGTCAATCGCATTCAGATACTACCTAGCACCTAGTACTAGCACGTACTAGTACACTAATTGCACTTCATCCGAGTAATTGTATTGTTCCTGTCTAGTCATACAATCATAACGAGATGAATTGATACTTCTTCATTCCTGTACTCAAGACCTGCATCCATAAACCTCCATGATCCATCATAACCCTTCATACTCATAATTGTCACAAATTATTGATCACCACATCAAAATCTATACGACTCTCTATCTCTTGACACCCCGGATTTTGCGGGGTTAGATCTCACTTTCCCCCCCTCCCCTCCCTGCGCATAGAAGATGGATTCATCCAAAAAGAAAAAGCCTGGCAAGGTCCGTATTGCGGATCACCTGCGAAAAAGAGCTCTGGTTTCTTGCGATCGTTGCAAAAGGCGTAGAGTGCGTTGCTCACGAAATGGAGAGGATCCCTGCCAGAATTGTGTGGAAGCCAGTGTAGAATGTAAATCCACCTTGCCCCGGAAGACTCGAATTTATGGAAGTGTCGAAACGCTTAGTATGCGATATCGCGTGCTGGATGCGGTTGTCAAAGGAATCTTTCCCGATAAGGATACAAGTGATATCGACGTTCTATACGAGATTGCTGCAGAGCATAAAATAACGTTGCCTGACTTCACGGGAGATAATCTTACTACGGGCGACATACGCATGGAGGAAGTTTTTGCACACGTCCCAAAGGAATTGTCATTGTCGCCAGCCTATTCCGAGGGTAGCCAACGTACCTTGAAAGAAGAGCCAACGCCAACAGAGAAATCTGTAACCGTACCCAGTTCGCCACAGGAAACACTTGTTCCCACACCTTCGGGGGGACAATCACATTTTATTGGACCTTCTTCAAGTTTTGGATTTGCCCTCAATCTTCGTGCGCTGGTAGGATCGTATGCTCAAGTTCTTGAACCGAACAATCCAAGGATGAAGTTGATGATAAACTTCGCGACTTCAAAATGGAGCAAAGGCTTAGAGCCAAAGGCGGCCGAAGAAAAGCACACCGCCCCTGGACCAGCAGATCTCGAACGAGATTCTCAAGCATCTAGAAGCCGTCACGTGCTTCCGCTTGTCCCAGGCAAAGATCCATCAGAAAAAGAGCCTCTATCTTCACTTCTACCCGCTCGGGAAATCGCGGATGCCTTGGTTCGGTCATTCTTTGACCACGTTCACCCAGATTTTATGCTTTTTAGACGTCGCTCTTTTGAACAGCGCTACGAGAGCATGTGGAGCCAACTTGGTAATCAAGTACAGGATTTCGAACCCGGGTGGCTATGTTCAGTTCTCATGGTTCTAGTACTTGGAGCTCAGATTATCGAGCCACAGGATGATTTGTACCTGCAAATGATTCACAATTATAAAGTATGGGTACAGTCGCGAGTGTCCCAACTTCAATATACCAGTACACTAGTCAATATTCAAGCTCTACTCCTTTTGCATATGTATTTACATAACATGTCTGAACGTAATGCAGCTTGGACGATGCTAGGTGCAGTTTTAAGAATGGCTATGACTCTTGGAATGCACCGAGAAGGAGGCAACAAAAATCTCGATGCAAGCGAAATCGAGGTTCGACGCCGTGTGTGGTGGACAATTTACGTACTGGAACAGAATTCATGCACGATACTGGGCAGACCTTCTTCTATCGACGATATGGAAGTCACCATTAAATATCCCAACGAAGATCTGCTTGATGGTAGTGCACATGTACCTATGGCATACATCGAGGAGTTGTGTCGTTTGACAAGGATAATGGCGCGTACCAGCAAGATGATGTATCCCTCTAACGCCATTTTATCCCCAGATGATGAGAAACATAGGATCAATTGGGCCGGTAGATTACTCTCGGAGTTACATGATTGGCGCGACCGCTTACCACCACACCTTCGCCTCGGACTTCAAGGAATTTCACATGCCCACTCGCGTGCGATTTACCTACTTCATCTTCAGTTCTATCTCGTACAGTCACTTGTGACTCGACCTTACGCGGTACGGAAAGCGATGCTGCAGGTAGCGCGGAAGAAAGGGAAACATGTTCGCGCTAACCATCTCTGTGAAGAAGAACACAGACTGAGTTACAAATGTGGTCTTTCTTCCAAAGAAGCTCTTAAACTCATTCATCAACTTATCACATTAAACCAATTCAATGGTGTAACCTGGATTGATCCTTACTATGTATATCACAGCGTGGCCGTTATCGCGTTGGAGTTCCTAGCCAAAGATGAGCCAGATAATGACGAAGATATCTCTCGTAGGAAGGCGGTCTTTGATATAAGGAATGCAATGGATAACATTCGTCTCTGTCCAGTCTTCGCTATGCTCACACAGGTATCTTTCCAATTTGCTCAAATTGTCGGCATAATCGATAACCATGTAACTGCCGCACAATCTCAACATTACGACGCCATGCAGATGCAGTCTCATGTTCAAGCTATCCCTGATATCGACATTGAATTCGAAAACCCTCAGCAGAGCAATATTGACAACGTCTTTGATTTAATTCTAGGGAATAACTTCAGTATTCCTTGGAAAGTTGGACCGGATGCCTTTTCTCATAATCCACAAGTCTCAGCCCCGATGATGGGGTCATACATCGATCGTAGCGTGCCGGCTATGGATGAACAAGCTGCCGCCACCGCGATGCAGGGAATGCAATCACAGCAGCCATATGTAAGCTGGCCCACGGGTGGATACGGAGTGATGCCTACACATGCGCAGTATGGAAATCCATCGGCAACTCCATCGCATATCAATAGCAATAGCAACGGCAACGCTCAATCGCATGCCCAGTATTCAAATTCAACAGCCGGCCCATCGCAGTTCCCAGTAGCAGCCCCAACTCATGTCAACCCGAATGGCAACGGCATCGGCTCCTCTCATGCGCAATACGCAAATCAGCCAAATCCGTCACATCTTCACAGTAATGGTAACGGCCATTCTCATGGGCAGTATTCGAACTCCCATCCTGATTACGAGCATCGGAGGAACTGATCACTTTTAACGCATTATATGTCTATTGGTATCGAGGTGTTAAAAATGGGTATGCGCGTGGGAAAAGCAGGAGTAATGAGCTAAAGGGTGTAGAGATTTTTAACCAAGTATAATTTGCCGGGGATTTGCGGGTTTTTTGGAGTCTGGAACCACTGGCAAGGAGTTGGAAAACCGGACGCGAATCAGGGATTTTGGGGTTAGGAGTAACGATGATTATTCATTGTGCAATAATTTGGGAAATGGGACGGAATATAGAAATTTTGGAAGAGAAAAGTAGGGGGGTACATCGGTGCAATTATGCATAATGGCAGATGAACAGATGATTGAATTTGTTGGGGTGGGAAATTGAAATGGGGATGGGGATTGGGAAGGTTTGATCCTACGGTTTCATACAGGTGTGTGTATAGATACAACTCCGGGTAGAAGTCAATAAATAGTGTTTGTTTTTTTGTACATGGTGCTTTTGTATATGTTGATTTCGTACAACTGACCAGTTTCTCGGTATGATTTACTCTATTCAATATTCCTCTGCTCCTCCTCTCTTCTTCTCCCCCTTACAGTCTTCCTCTCGCTCGCCTCCCATCAAATTACCCCCCCTTATCTCAAATCGCGAGAAGTGCCAACTCTCAAGTGGTAATACATAACCAACCGACATAGCTATTTCAGCAGAGGGTAAATAAAAGCTTGAATACAATCTTGTTTTGAAGTTTGCAGAATAGGTAAGAGGTGTGTATCTCAAGATCCCCTCTCTTGCAAGGCGTAAGCGATATGTGATATAAGATTATGTATGGATTCTCTGAGTATGTGTCCATCTATACGTGCTAAGATCCGTTACACGGAATGGATCGATGGTAATGATACACTAAAAGTACAAATACCGCCACAATTCTGATGGCGCCCACTGCCCCTTTCCATCTTACAAACTATTCATCGAACAAACCCACGCATTCCCCCTCCCCTTCTCCTCTTCTTGCCGAACACTTCCCCTCCCCTCCCCCATCACAACTTTCCCAATTCCCTTTCCAACCACTCGACAACCCCCGCATACCCACTCTGCCTCTTCCTCATCACCTCCAAAAAAGCGCCCAAACCCCACCTCCTCATCTCTCTTTTCGAAACCTCGCATTTATAACCTGCATATTGATCTTTCTTACCAATTTTCTCCTCTTTCCCAACCGCACCCTCATCCTTATCCAGACTCCCCCCTTTCTCCCTAGATTTTCCACTGCTCTTCTTTCCCCGCCTACTTAGACACCAACCCAACTTAACTAGATCCTCTACTGTCTTAATCACCAATGCACTTTTTGGTTTTTTGGCAACAGGTAAACATTTTATATACGCCATCATTTTCGTTGCACTTTCAATGTAAGAGGTGTAAATATTTTTCCGGACAGTGGAGAAGGAATTGTGAGAGGTGTCGAGGTACATGGGGTGGGTTTGGAGGGTGAGGGAATCTATGGGTGTGTCAATTGTGTTCTTGAAGTTCGAGTGAAAGTGGAGAGCGAAAGCGAGCGCGGGGAAGCAGGGTGCAAAACGAAGGCGGAATTCAGAATGAGTATTGAATAAAAAATCGATAGCACTTAGGAACACCCAGAATTTCATTGAGGCTCTTTCCTGGAATGCAAAAAGACTCAACGTCAAAAACATACAACAGTGGGGATTCGCTGGTGGTCACCCACCCAACTACTACTCCACCGATCTGAAGCTTGTGTATGGCAGAGCGGACGGGATGCCCAATTCTCTTCAGTCTATGGTCGTATGTGACAGAATGTGCCCTGTTTGATTTTATATTCCCATACGTTGTGACGTTGTGATTTTGTGAAGAATGAGATCAGAAAATGATACTTACTGAGAACTTTACGATGGAATGTCTTCCCCGGGATTCTTGAATATTCGACTGTGAGCGAATCTTGTATTACTTCTCAACGATTAGTATCGAGGTCCATGATAGTGATATGCTCAACGAAAAACTGGAACGGATCAAAACAAACCCACCTAAGTCTTTCCTCCTATCCCTATCCCTTGCAATATTCAAAGTCTTCATATCCACCAAATTGCCACAATAAGGAAACATTTTCTCACCCACCACCCTCTTTATTTTCTTACCATTAATCATCACCTCGAAATTGGTAAGTGTCTTGTCCGGATTTACACCTACTCCGTACTCTGGTATTCCATCATGCATTATTTTCAAGAAGCGTTTCGCATGTGCGGGATTGAGTGTTATAAGTAAGAAATCATCAATCAATCTCAGCAGTAGACTTTCCCCAGATTGTAGAAAAGATAGATGCTTTGCTTCGAGATCCGCATAGAAGTAATTACAAAGTAAAGAGGAAAGGACTGAACCCTGTGGAATTCCTTCTTTTTGGCGGTAGAATTTCTTGCCGATTTTAACCATGTTTTGTGAAATGTGTTGAGCCAGAATTTGGAGAAGAGAGTCAGTATCACGGATTTGGTTAACAATATTCTCAACGAACACAGTGTTCTTCCTGCCAATGGCTATATCATTTTCGAGATCCTCATCAAAATTGTCAAGGTGATGAAAAGATTTGGCGTGTGATTTCCATCTTCTAATGGGTTTATTTGGTGCATTAGGGTCTGTGGTATAGGCTTCTGTAGGTCGGATCTCAACATGTCTCGCAAACCTGTACTCTGATTCGGAAGGAACGGTAGTCATGAGCTTGATGACTGCAGCTTGAGGAATGGTGTCGAATGCAGCCTGGACATCAACTTTGGCAAAGTAGAGAGGCTTTGTTGATGAGTTGAGAGTTGCTTTGAAGGATTTGACCTTCTGATATAAATCGCCGATAGAGAAAAGAGTTGATCCAAGGCGACCTATATTGCTTGCCTACAGATGTTAGATTTTGCAACCAAAAAAAGTCGACTGTAAATGACGCTTACCTTCTCGTGGGTGAGTACATTGTGAACAGGTGCTAACACACTATTAATACTGGCACCTAGCAGACGCTTATCACCTTTCCGCATTGCTCTTCTTCTTAGATTCATAATTGGTCGCACGCCAGTCTCCTTAGGTATCAGTCGCATCTGACTAAAGCCTAAGGCTCGCGAACCAAGTATCTGCTGAGCCTCTCCCAACTTTACTTCCTCGAACATTTTTGACTTCAGTGAAACCAGAGCAGGCCCAGCCACAGATTTCCAGACATCATGACGAAAGAAGAAGAGTCGCTGACGATGAATATTCGACTCAGTGACATGAAAGTTCGAACGAACCAACGGGATAAGAACTGAATCAAACAAATAGTATATGAATTCAAGGAATATTTCACGTCGTTTGTTGAAATCAGTTAGTGACAATTTTTGGTTCGAGGTATTTGGTGCGCCCAACCATTCAATCTCGGCAATCTGTTGAACATTAACAAAATAAAATCCAATCATGACAGAAAATTTACCTTGAATCCCTGAGTAACTTCGTGAAGTGACAAAGCCTCAAATCTTCTTAGTCTAATAAAGTTATCCACATTCTTTTTGAAGATGCCCTCGTTATGTACTTGTACATCTCCTGTGCCCCAAAATTCGCGCGGTACGATATTTCGAAGCACGGCATGGCAGAAAGCAGATACATCAGCACCAGAACTTGCATGGTCCATCAAAGTTAATTTTCGGGCTGGAATTGAGGGAGTACTCGATGAAGATGTGTTGGAGACGTGGCTTTTCCCGGAAGATTGGCTTTCGAATGCCGTCGAATCAGAAGAACACTTTTCTTTCGTGTCCTCTACGCTGCCATCTTGATTCTTCCGATTCTGTAAGTGTTAATAGAAGCCACAGAATTTCAATCTGGAGACTGACCGGGCAATAATATTCTAACAAGCTATTGTATGAGCACCTGGAGTGCAAGATTTGAAATTTTTTGACCAGATCCCTGGCTTTTCCACGAAGTCTTTTGGGGATTTTGATGGCCTTTGAGTCAGGATACATGGAATCAATTTCTTCTTCGCGTAAAGTGTAATCTTTGAATGGCTGAACGGTTTCTCGATTGTCAACTTCTGAAGTAAAGACATTGTGAAGGCCGAATTGCATGGGGAATATGTACATTAGAATTTGGGTGATATTCTCCTCAGGCCGTCGACGACTAAGCATGGCACCACTTCCATCATTGACTTGACATGGAAATCTGTTCAAAACATCTGCGCAGAACAATCAATCAATTTAAATCCAAGCTACTAGCTCAAGAGTGACCTACGGATGTGCCTAAAACCAAACTGAACCTCGCCCTTTGCATTCAAAGCAGCTTTTGCGTAGAGCATCCGATTTCTTACAAAATTGATTTCTGCTGGATTGTGTAAGACAACTGATTGCTGGCTTTTGCTTGAAGGGTTGTCTGTCTCAGACAATTTCCCATGGATTTTTGCAGTTGTGATAGGTGACAGTTCACTTAAAGGCTGACCTGTTTGTAGTCGTCAGTCAAGATTAAACAAACCAGACACAATTGGAACCCACCACTGAGTTGGTAATAGCTACCATGGGCATTCTCTATTTGAACAAAAACACCACAATCAAGAATCAAATCACACATGACACGTTCTCCAGCTTTCCCTAGCAGAGCAAGAACATGAGGCCATGGCCAGGTTTTCATAGCTGTCACATGACTATTGGGATACATTGAATTGACTCCTGGAATAGAAGTTCTAAAGTTTTCATCCCTATTGACAGAATGAGAACTGATATCTTTACGATATCCTTGACAAAGTAAGTGTTGTAGTCTTCCATTTGATGATTTTGACTTTGAAAATAGTAACCAGATAACAAAATCAACAATCTGTTGAGATGTTAGTAGTCCGAGACAAGAACATTCCGGAAGAAAGATTATTGATAAACACCCACCTCTGATTGAGAGTAAACATCATTACCACTTGAATTTGCAATGGTTGATACAGAAATGTCTCCTTTCTGTGAGAAAGAAACCCACTCTTTCAACCTATTTTCTTGAGAAAGTTCATGATTCAATGACGCACCTATCAACGTGCCATCAAGAAAGTCACCTAACAAATGATCTTCATCTTCCTCCTCATGATCATCTCCTTGATCTTCAATGTTTGTTGAAAGCTTGTGGCCCACCGACAACAACTTCTTTCTCCTAACCTTGGAGGATACTGGAAGTTTTGATAGTAAATAATCACGAAGACATAAGACGTTGGGGTAGTATTTGGCCAATAAAGTTTGCTTTATTGGAGGATCCTTTCTGTGGGTATCTCCAGACGCCTTTTGACGTTTATTGAGATTTGTAAGGCCAGTGCCATTATCGGTATCAGTTCCTGTGACAGCATGACTTCTCTTTCTCTTTCTAGCCATGTTCAAATAATTGCTTTTGTTGATTCTTGATCTCTGGTAAGGCACACTAGGTAGTATTTCCTAAATGGATTGTCTTAGCGTTGGGCTGTCTATGATGGACAGTGATGACCCAGATGATGACCCATAGGCGTGATGTCGATCTTCAAGCAAGATCGATACAGCAACCTTGGAAGACTGCTAGTTCTATGCAGCCTGTTTATGCAGCCTTGTCAAAGTTACGAGGCTGTACCAGTAGATCAGATTGCATTATTGACTTTAATTCTGGAAAGTCAATGATGAAGTATTCCTTCCTTTCACAACGAATACGAGAACACAACATATGATTGAAGTTTCAACTTATAAATAGGTATATGAAGTAAGGGGTATCGATGATTGTGAAAAAGTAAGGAGTTGTTTCAATTATATTGAGCAAGACAAAGTCGGAACAGAGAAAAGGAAAAGAAAGTCCGGAAGCACGGTCTTTAACACATATCTACTAGGTAGGGATTTAGTCATTTATTGGTTGAGTGTTGATATTGAATCTAGAATTGAGGATATCGATAAGCGATAAGACTTTGATGTTGATATTGATAGGAGAACAGCCTCGAGCCAGTGAGCCAGTGAGCCAGTGTCACACAACAAAACAAGAGACATGAAAAGGGCACCAAGTGGAATATGAAAACGAAGTACCTAACTGGCGTTCATACACACGCCTTGGCTTCTTTTCTACTGTAGGCAGGCCCTAGGCGATTCTTGAAGAAGGGATAATGATCAATGAATCAATGAATCAATGGATGAATGAATGATACCTATTGATTTAGGCTCGGCTACTGCTGGCTTAGAAGTAAGACTTTACCATGTCAAATCCAAAATGAAGCAAACCTTCCAGGGTCATGACAATCAGATTCTTTCTTTAGGTGTTTGTTCACCTAGTTCATCTAGTTCACCTACCTAGACAGCTAGATACTATTTTAGAGTCAGGCTTGACTGATTGTCAAACTTTGAAGCACAATAGACCCGTGAGCTCCTAGTCACCGAGTCAGAGACTTGTAGTGAATATCAATATTGACATTTGCTTTTTTCCTTCGGTGTCAAGGTTTGAGGCGATAATGCTATGGATTATTCAGTATAGATAGAGTGGCTGAAGGAGACAGGCCATTTGCTTCTTCATCTAGTGTCTACTCGAGTAGAATGGATGGCAAAGCATTCAACCTAAAACCTTCACTCCCATTGTTGATTTGTCACAAGTATTAGATAGAAATGATGGTGGTACATACAATAAAATTGGAATGGAAGTACAGGCCATAAGTCGAAGGTATCACAAGCAGTAGCAGCCAATGCCAGACAGTATATATAGTGCCAGGAAACTCTGGAAGGGAAACACGAAACAAACGGCAGCGGCAGAAGGGCACCTTACTAGATACCCAGTAGTGATCAATCACAATTCATCCATGACCATGAAAGTTGAAACTGTACAAAAAACTTTCCTTGACTCAATGGAATTCATTATCCTTGAGCTTTTCCACCTCTCCCACGAAGTAAATTCTTCCGAACCCGGTATGATTTGACCATAGTTGACCAAATTGCCTCAACGGCTGATATGTATGATGATTTCGATTGATTACCTTGTCACTGTCATTTGCTGAAGATATACACAATACACTACACCACACTACATTACATTACTTGACCAGTATTGTGCTTTTGTACCTTTTCATAATATCGGGTAGAAATACTCACTACCTACCTAGTAGATCACTTCAAAGTTATCATACATACTAGGAAGTAGTAACCTTTTCGTCTTTTATTGCACAATCACTCACACTTAATTCTTCTCTCTCTCTCTCTCTCTCTCCCACTCACACACCCTCTCACCCTTTCACCCTCTTAAAACTCGAAAAGCAACAACTTTACAGACTTTGTGGAGAAAAATCATTAAAGCTATCTAACCCCCAACTACTACCGGTAAACCTCTAACCCATAATAATTGATTGTGCTCCATTCAATTACATCCAATTGCATAACAAAACCACGCTACCTTTTACCGTCTCTAACTTTCTCTCCCGCATTATACTGAAAGTATAACCAACTCTTGTCCTATGATTCTTCCGTCCAACCTACTGCCACATACATTCAATTTTCTCCCTCGTGCGCCCAGAGCTCAAGGATAAGGTTTGTTGCTCAAATCAAATCTATCGAATCAGCTACAAGTATTCCAAGGGCCATTCAACTTCTGCCACAATTGTATGGATCATCAATAGACAATCACAGCATTATCATCGCTCACAATTAGAGCACGAGCTTCAACAGATGTTGAGGCACAATGGAGGATGGATTTCAAGATGACCAGAATTTTTATTCTAGGTCTTTCCCCCAGTCAGAAGCTCAGTCCCCAGCGCAATCCCAATCTCAATCCCAGTACTCGTCGGATTTGACTTCACAACACCGGCAAATACCTTCTTCTACCATTTGCGAATCTCCTCACTTTCCTCAAAGATTTGACTTCGATCCGGCACCCCCTCACCCTCCTAAACTCCCTCTTCTTACGACCTCGAATCTACAATTACAAACTACCAACACGAATGGTTACATGGATACTTCTGATGATGGTGGTGAACCAGATGACTTCTACCGAGATTATCAACCTCTTCAACAGACAAACAGCCCGCCAGATCAATTATTAGATATGGCTGCTACAACATCAGATGTTAGACCGGCTTCCTCCACAATGCGATCAAGTAATACCAGCAGTTCACCAAAACAAACTCCTTCTACCTCAAGAACTACAACGCGACCACCCTTCAGCTCAAATCTATCGCATGTTGAAAGCAATCAAAAGCAATCAACTAAACCACTAGTCAATGGATATGGAAAAGCATCACAAAAACCAAGCGTAAAGGATCTCTTGAAGCGCTTTGATCAGAACAATGATCAGTCCCTTCTCATGCCGCGGAAACCAGTGGTACGAACAAAAGATAGTGCTGGGATCAGTTCCGGATACATGAGAGATCGATCGAATCCATACACTACCCGCGTGGCTAGTAACCCAGGACCTATAACTACGAGTTCGTCATTAAGGGCAAGTAATACTACGAGGGAGCCGGGATCAACCAGAGTTAAATCGCCTTCATCCAGTACAAGAGCAATGCAACGACCGAGATTTGCGACGGAGGACCAACATTCAAGTAATGCTTCTTTGGGTTCCGCCCGCAGCATGCGTACGAGGAATACACCAAGTACCAAAGCCAGTTCAACTTCGAAGTCAATGAACAATCTTTCGCCATCATCTCAATCTCAACCCCCACCCGCGGTGCCGGAGAAGCGTCCTCTGTTTGGAGAGATTTCAACTTTAGGTCAAGGTACATTTGAAGCTGGTTACGGTATACCAACGGCTACAAGAAGGACATCTGAATCAGGGCTACCTTCGGCCATCTTCACTGAGCAACGTTGTCGCACAGATGCCGATATATCTCCAACTTCGCCAACAGCCTGGTATTTGGGAGTAACGCCATCGCTCGGTGACGTAGAACCAAACAAGCCGCGAAGATCAGGTCACAATCGTGCCCATAGTGACTTTGCAGACACTAAGGTAAATACTATGCATAATGTCAACCGCTCTTCTTTTCTATTACCAGAATCCCCAGTCAATGCCAAGGATTCAGGTCCAAACACTGCGCTGGATTCTTCTCATGTAGAAGCTGAGGGTGGATCCGACCTTCAGCCAGCAAAGATGTCATCTCGACTTCCTATTGCACTCAAACGCTCGAGTACTCAGTCAGATAGATCAAGTTCCCCATCAACGCGTGCTAGTTCTCCTCTGACTGGCAAACGCCCACTTCATGGAAAGCTTCCTCGAGAACATCGGCCATGGAGTCCTGCCGGACGCTCAATGACATCAGCAACTCGTTCTGTACCTCCTAACAGCCGTGCCAAGACACGTAGCCCAGACAAAGTCTCTAGCAGTGGTAGCTTGAAAGCTTACATTTCCGCACCGCCCGCAAAAAACTCCCCGCCTCTGCGAAGTTCACGTCCTCGGCAACCTGTTTCTGCAGCAACAACCGCTAGTTCAAGACAAAAGGCAGTGGATGGATCGGCATCGCCACATGACACAAGAGCTGGGATTAAAGTGACTAAAGCTGGCGGAACTTCTGAGACGAAAGGACGTAAGACAATAACGACAGAACCAGTTAACTATGCAGCACGGCGGGCACAAATTACACGCGCATATACTAAGTCAATCCATGAATCTGAACAGCAGAAGATTCGAGCATCTCACACAAACCATGCCAACGGACATAATCCTCAAGCCACAAACGGTGACGAAAGCTCCAAGTCTGAACATGCGAATACTTCTACGAATGGAGATCAGATACCAGATATGTCATCAATAGGGCCCGAATCATTACAGATCTTGACAAGCTTCGACCCACAAATTCCCCCGCCACCTGTTGAGCATCAGATTGTAATGGATCAAGATTCGCCAACCTTGGGTGTTACTAACAGCATGCCTGGAGCTTTTATTGAAGAGGATGTACCAATGTCCGCAATTTCAAATATTTCTGCCACGACCTTTATTGAAAATGAAGCGCAAACAGAAGGTGCCCGCCTTGCTCGTATCCCGTCTATAAAGCTTGCAGATTCAGTTGCAGCGCCTGTTCAAGTACTTAAAGTAGATGATGTGACTCCTGAGGATCGAGCAAAGATCACAGCAGACTCTTTAGAGGTTTCTATCGAGGCCACTTCAATAGGATATACTCCGAAGGAGGGTTTTAGTGAAGCATTACCAGAGTCCATTGATCATGATTTGACATCAGAAGCCTCCGAAAGTCCATCAAATGTCATCACCTATGATGAGCAAGCCAATGTCACTGTTACAGAGCTCCCAAGTGCAAAGATATTGGTATCAGAAATTTTCAATTCGGACTCCATGCATCACATGGATTTCGAAGTAGCTGCTCCTGCGAGTATTAACCATGGCATTGCTCAGCCTACCGGTTTGGGTTTATACGATGATAGTTCTCAGCAGCTGGTAGATATTCCCATCAGAATCGAAGAAGACATGGACAGATCCCAGTTACACTTAGAATCAGATATCATTTCTGGGGAAGGCCCCAGACTAGAATTACCAGCTTTGCGTACTGCCCTTGCCGAGTCCCTATCTCCACTACAGAACGATAGACAACCGGATTTGTACACTCCCACAGATATCGAGTATGAAAGTTCTGATGACGTTGGCGCGGGAAACACCGGGAATACGAGTGAACAAGAAGACTTGTACGGACCATCCTATGATCAGAATCGCGAGTTATATCTTACATCTGACGCCTACCACCGTGAAAACCGACATTCTGCTTGGACCGATTTCTCAGTTGCCACAACAGATGACCCAGCCTCCCAAGACGAGAATCAGAGGTGGATAAACACAAAGATCTCGCTTCCTGAACTGCAGAAAGCTCCGACACCGCCCCCCAAATTGCCTCCTTCTCCCGGGCCACTTAGGCCGATCGAAGACACAAGTTCCATGAATTCTTCTAGGCTTGAACTACCTCCACTGACATCCCATAACGGATTCGGTCTTGGATTCGACCCGGATACCATCTATAGCGTTCCAACTGTCCCAGTATGGTCTAACCTCACTCCTCCACTAGCCTTAGAGCATACTTCTCGGAAAGATGCAATTGCTAAATTAGGTCCCCCTACTCGTACACCCCCTCCTCCTGCTATGCAAGATAGTCGTCCACAATCGGGCACCGATCAAATTAGCCAAAACACTACTAGCCAACATACTCAATCCAGACGCCCAAGCGTTGACTTGGTTTCGCCGCGACCTTCACTTTCTACACCTTCCATTTCCACTCCTAGATCAAGCATGCAAATATCTCAGGAAGATGTATCTTTGAGCAATGGCTACCCCGCCCTAAAGCTCCCCTGCTACCTCTCACAGAGGAAGAGCAAGCAATTGCCAAGAAAAAAAGCGCACGCCTATTTACTAGGAGAAAGATTATTGAGGAAATAATTGATACAGAATCCGCTTATCTGAAAGACATGAATGTAGTTGAGGAAATCTACAAAGGTACAGCTGAAGCATGCCCAAAATTGGATTTTGGCGATATCAAAACCATATTCAGAAATACAGATGAGATTATAGCTTTCTCAACAACTCTGCTGGATGACCTGAAGAAAGCTGGGGCAGCTGTCTACACTTCTAAGGCTCGCGCCAGACAAAGTAAAGCTACATCCACAACGACTACTGCGCTAAATACCCCTGTATCGCTGGGTCCAAACGACAGTAGCTCAGATCCTACAGAATCCAATGATTTCAATGAAGAAAGGGACCGAAAGACCTATATTGGTTATACCTTTGGCAAACATCTCAGGAGGATGCAAGAGGTCTACACAGAATTTTTGAAAAATAGCGAACTGGCAGCAGACCGCTTGAGGATCTTGTCAGCGGACCCTGCCGTTAATGTTTGGCTTATTGAATGCAACAATGTCGCAAAGGACTTAACGGCTGCTTGGGATCTCGACGCTCTGATGGTTAAACCAGTCCAACGGGTCACTCGATACCAGCTATTAATCGACAACCTCGTGAGACATACAGCTGAAGATCACCCAGATTTCAATGCTCTTTCGATTGCTGCCCGAGAAACATTGAATTTATTGCAGACTATTGACAAGCTCAAGGAACGTATTTCAGTCGTCGGGAAGATTGTTGGTCGAAAACGCAAGGAATCAGAAGTCCGCCTTGGAATCGCCAAGGCATTTGGACGACGATCAGAGAAGTTGACTTCTAACGTGGTTCGGCCCCATGACGATGAAGTGTTTGTCAAGTTGCATGAAAAGTTTGGTCATGATTACCTACGACTGCAAGTAGTCATGCGTGATGTTGAATACTATACTCGACAGGTCGCTACTTGGGTCAACGATTTTCTCAGATTTCTTTCTGCCATGGAAATAATCATGCGACATAGCCCTTCTTCATACCCAGAAATGGAAGCTCGGTGGTCCCAGTTTAACCTTTCCATGAGAGATATGGGGAGTGTTGCTTTGGAAAGTCATGTAAGCATTTTTCTATGATCTAGAATGTTATCAATGCTAATATAAAACAGGTAGGACAGATCCGAAAGGAAGTTATTGAGCCAATCGAAGCTGTGATTCGGTTGTATTCTGGGCCTACTGAATTCATGAAGAAACGCGCGAAAAGGCGCGTAGATTATGAAAAGCTAATGGCTGTCAAAGCCAATGGCAAGAAGCCTGACGAAAAGCTTCAATTGCTAGCCAAAGAATACGATGCTCTGAATGAAACGTTGAAGACGGATATGCCCCGGCTCTCAGTATTGACGGCGCAGGTAGGACAAACAATTCTTGCCAAACTTATCTTCAGTCAAACAGCCTGGTACTACATCTGGCAAGAGAAGGTCAAGACTGTGTTGGATGCTAACCAAATACCAATGAACGAGAATGACATTTTACAATCATTCGAGCGGGATTACAAGTATGTGCTCGCACAAACCCAAGAGCTTCGCCTCATCAACGGTACATTCGAGGTGGATTGCTTTTTGGACAGATTAGATTCGACCCCCGTTACCAGTATCAAAGATAACGAATCGATAAAAACAAAAGGCCGACTATCTGATTCGTCCGCTCGTCCACGAGTTCTATCCTTGGCAGCTCCACATGATACATCTCCATGTCTACCGACTCCAGATTTTGCAAAGCGACATAGTGGTCAATTTTCATTCTCGCCAATTATGGCAAATGGTCCTGGCTTCCCAGCGCATGCTCCATATCAACCAGCAGCTTACTCTGTAGGACATTCTCGTGCTGGCTCGGGCTCTCCTGCGACACCAGATGCGAATGCCCCTCGTCTTTATGGTTCTACCAGACCATCAACATCACGAAGCATTACTTCGGATAATGGTGGCGTGGCAAGAATTAGCACAGACCTTGGACATCGTAGGGAATCAAGTTCCACTCAAGCATCTGCATCATACATGGTAGATGGTCCTCTTCGCGATCAACGACCGTTCTCAGGTATTTTCCATTCGGCAATGCCTTTACCCGATGGCCCTGAGGATAGCGTTCGATCCTCGAGAGCATCCTCAGTGGATCGTGCCCATGGAAGTCGGTACAATGTCATCTACCTGGCAGCAAGCTTATTTGAGTTTAATATTGCAGCAACTAAGACTGAAGCTGGTTACCCTTATCTGACCTACTCACCCGGTGAAGTAAGCTAACAATTGAATCTGGCATTCCTCGTTATAAGCTAACTTATTCTTAGATCTTTGATGTCATTGGTGAGAAGGGCGAGCTCTGGTTGGCTAAAAATCAAGATGATGGCTCTGATCAAGTTGGCTGGATCTGGAGTAAGCACTTTGCTCGTCTCGCCATGGATTGATGAGCCAACATCTGCCCCTTCCAACGTGTACTATTCCTTTTCTTTTCGGCTCTTCTAGCAACAACGCATCCTTGATTTGGCGTTGAAGCACTTATCTGTACTCGTTTTCCGAAATAATTTTCCACAGAAAAGCAACAATTTACAAGGGCCATCGGCGTAAAGAGGGCGGTGTCATAAATTCAAGCTTGATGATAGGACATGATCCTATTGGATCATTTTATTTGTTTTGCCTGACTACAGCTAGTTCCTGGCATACACAATTCGGGTCTGGATGGAAAGGAGGGGCGTTCTTGATTTAGGGATGGGCGTTCAGATAAGCCTGAGTTATTCATTCATTTGACTTTTTCTTTTATTTTCCTTTTCTCTTTTGATCTCTAAAGTCGACGAGATTGTTGTTAGAGTGTCTATTATGGAGCGATTCTTTATGAGGGATGGAATGGAACCACATATGCAGCGTATTTTCCTTCTTTTTACTTTTCCGAAAATTTCCAAATGTTTAGGCCGCAGGTTTGGGTTGTTAATATAGCTGGATGGGATTTTCGCAGCACTCATGATTGTATGCATGAGGTGATGACGTCTCTGGTTTGTTGGAGTTAGTCTTAGTTTTAGTTTTAGTTGTTGAATATACCAGGGGAGTAAGAGAGTAGGGGAGAGAGGAAGAAAAAGAGGTCAACAGAACATGGGCTGAATGATAAGGGGGAAGGGAAAACGAATGCGGAGAGGGAGAAAAGAATTAGAGGGGGGAGAGGAGACGAGAGAATGGAGGAAATGGACTGGACTTCTTATTCTCAGATAGGAAACTTTTTTTTTTGTCATTTATTTGGTTTGGGACAGATGAGAATTGTTGAGAAAGGAAGGGGATGAATTGTTTTCTTGTTTTCTTTTTTGAAGAAAGGAAAGGCAAAGCGCAAAGGAAGATGAAAGGCACTGGATGGATGGATGGATACCCGAAGATCATTATGTATGTGTGAAGGAGTTATTGAATTGTCTGAGTAGGAAATTTTCGTTTTTTTCTTCTTCTCGTCTAAGAAAGTGCGGAGATGCGAATGTGCAATCGATGCATTGTATTGCGTGAGAGGAGAGAAGTAGGGGGAGGAGATGAATGGGGAGAGGAGGTAAATGAAATCATACTAGTCAAATTCTAGGAATGGGATGCGAGGAATGATATCAGAAGTGGTGTGGAATGAAAATATGAGAATTCTTTCAAAACAAGTTTTGATTAGGCTATGATTAAGTGCATGATCTGCGTGGCATGTCTTGTCGTGTGAACGATAGAACGATAGAACATCAAACGTAGAAAGAATGTACTCGTAGGATGATGCAAGGACGGCTTCTCAGAAGCGCGGGGTCCTCTTGTTCTTGACTGCATCATGATATAGAATCTCGTAATAAAATACATGTAAATCTCGTTCGCTCTACTCTTGCATCGAATCCTCTCCATTCTAAAGAAGAAAAACTTTTTATAGAGATCCATCCATCGCTCATACGAACATCTCCAAGTGAAGTAAAGTGAAGTGAAGGTCTGGGTCTCGCTTGATCAAAAGGAGTATCCGAAATGCACCAAACGCCTCGCCAAATGCTATATTAATTTTGTGTTGTGACGCAACGAAATGCATGCTAGAAAGATTCGAATGCTGGATCGTGCTCCGTGGTATGGGGCTATGGGATCAACCGTGTTTTGTGTCTAGGTTCCCGACGAAATCGGCGATGGCTTCGAAATACCCAATCTCAACCACACTCGAATTGTGGTCACCGCTCGGGAGAGGCTTCCATACTTTGGTGGGGGATTGGCAGATCTCAAAGAGACGCCGCATGTGGCTGGGTCTGTGATGGGGGAGTTAGTGGAAAGGTATGGGATAGAGCAGTTTTGTGATATTAATCAAAATGTTGTTTTGAGGTAGTCAGACAAAAAGTTCTCGTATTGTGTAATCTGGTCCCAGAAGGGAGGTCATGTTTTGTGGATGGAAATTGGGTCATCATTCTGAGGCATGGTATGTGGGAGGAACAAAGGAAAAGAAGAAGACGTACGGTACAATCTCATCCAGGAGACCGCTAATGAAGAGAATGGGTACTTCGGTAATGGTAGGTAGGTATGTGTCTGATGGCCAAACTTGATGGCATAGATAGGCGAGATATCTGGCTGGTGGAATAACACTACGGCGTGTTAGTATTTGAATATAGCTGTGTGGTGGATGTACACGTACGATGGAATCAACTTTCTCATGGATAGAAAAGTATTTTCCAAAACGAGACCCACTAATCTTTCGTCGTGTTGATTTTTTGCTACTAGTTGTATTGATACGGCACCCCCAAGACTTTGACCGTAGATGACAATATCATTATCTCTCGTCTCTGCTCTCTTGCGAAGATAGTCGAAGCCAGTCTGAGCATCTATCATGAGACCCTTCTCGTCCGGTGATCCAGTAGAGAGACCATAACCCCGGTATTCCAACATCAAGACACTACATCCTACAATGTTTATGAATCGCCTCGCGATAGGTATTCGATGACCAATATTTCCGGCATTGCCGTGAAACATGAGGATTGTGACATTCTTTCTTTTCCTCGTCAGCGGTGCTCGAATGTAGAAGGCTGAAAGCTTTTCCCCATCAGGTGTAGGGATCATCAACTCCTCGAAATCCGAGATGCCGAATTGTGAGGGTCGTGGAACTTCGGTGCGGGCCGCATTTGGGATGGAACTTGGATAAATCAAGGACCTGCGGGTTGAGGAAACATATTGATCAGTATTTTATCGTATGGTAACATCGTTTTAGGAAGATGTGAATGGGTGCGCGATGTGGTGTGTGGTGTGTGTGTGTGGTGCGATATGATGATAAAAGAAGAAAAAGGAAGAAGAAAAAAAGGTGAAGGGGTTTGTAGAGTGGAGGGAAAAAATATACTTTTGCTTGAAGTAGAGAAGAGAACTTAGTAAAAAAGTTATACCCTGCAATTATTCGTAAGTACGAGGACAGTGAATGAAAAACAAGCGTGGCCCAGTTGAGCACCAAATAACCTTCAAAAAAGAAGTAGGATTGGAATTGTGTGAAAGAAAATGTACCGAAGACACAAGGACAGGGAATTTGAGGTAACCTGCGATAGAACTGGTAACAGTAGTTACCTGTTCAATATAACCTCCACCAGATGAATCTTGTGTAGACATCTTCATGTATTTTAAGGGGGAGAGTAGTCGTAGGGACGGAGGGAGGGAGGGAGGGAGGGAGGGAGGGAGGGTAGGAATGTGTTTTCTTAAGGACCAAAAATGGCCAGATATCTTCCTCCAATGGAAATGAGAAGAGTTGCGATGATGAATTAAATTGAAAATGTCAGTAGTAGTAACACATAGTCTTGATGCAATTGGTAGATGGATCTGGATCTCTTTAGAGTTTGATGTTTGGATGTTGGAGTGAGTGAGAGGTCGAGTGTGGATTGGTTGATCGATTGATTGATCGATTGATTGATCGATTGATTGATCGATTGATTGATGTGTTTCATGAAGAAAAGTGCAGATGGTGCTAGGGAGAGTAGAGTTGGTAGAAGTGGTAGAAGTGGTAAAAGTGGTAGAACTAGATAGCAAGTGGTATAATTAATGAATTGTCTCGAACAGTGATGGCGTATGTGTATGTCTATGTCTATGAACCGTTGAACCCGTGGGACCCTTTTTTGGAGTGAGGGAGAGATGATTGACCGCCAAAATGTTGTCATGTATGGAGTCGGTACTCTTGTATATCAAAATCCAATTGTTGTCTCAGAATTTCAGGAGTGCAGCAAGAACCAACAGATCCTGTCACTACTCCTTCCATCAACTCCACAAAACACAGATCAAATGCTCAACAAGCTCGGGGCCGGTCGAGATCCAGATATTCGAATACCACGGGTGACTTGCAGTGAGTGATACTTGCAGTTAGTGATACTTGCATCGTACTAGACAACGACCTACAAAAACATATAATAAAGCACCTACATCTACGCACCCTTCACACCTTCGGAGATCTATTTTGGTTCATATAGTTGCGCAATCCTGCGAGTAATTTATATATGCGATCGTCGGGTAAGCACGAGTTCAAACGTTAGCTAATCAAGGAACTTCGGACAAGGCGGTTTCTTCCCTCATGGGGCGGACTGACATGAGGAATCAAACAGATACATCTCATATGTGTTTGTCGTACAAATGACAGTGTCGCCTACAATCTTGTAATGTTGTCGTGATTAGATTACATCTGGGTGGAAGATGCGTCCATGGGAGGACACGATATCGTCGTGACACAACTGTTAAGTCATATTCTGAGCCACAATCTTTCAAGATGGATGCACCCTCAGTGCCTCACGCTTTGAGGTAAAACAAGGGTGATGAGTTGAGTACGAAATACGGAGTGGGGTGTGATTCATGTGATTCATGTGTTGGGGGTCTCGAGGGGAATTTATCCAAGATGATACACGCATCTTCAGATAGTAAGTAGGATTTGATTCATGGGTTAAATTCCAAGCCAAACTCGTTTCTCTCACAGAAATTCCCTCCGTTGAGGATATATTTCCATACTTCCGCCTTCTTTTCCCTCTGGTCATTGTACAGCGAGGCAGCGTACTCGGTCTCCTTCATTTCCTCGCCAACAATCACTCGTACATATGGCAGTTTGCAAAATCGAATGAAACTAATGGCCTCGAATACCCGATCTCACGTTTCCTCCCGAGCAAGATGTCAACTATTGGGATCCCAATATGTGGCGGAATAAGGGACCATCCAATGATCCAATGAAGAATATCTTCTCATGTGTCCAAGGTAAGGTAAGGTCGATTTGGATTTGGAGACAATGCCCAATGATCATGAATTCAAAGCAAAAGAATTGAGGATATCACATAACGATGCATAAGGCGACCCAATGACAGGACTTGCTCGTATGAAGATACCTACCCTACCCAGGGAGTTAAGGCAAGAATAAGAATAAGTGCTTAAGTATCTTCCTTTGAAATTGACGCCCAAAGCTAGAGAATTTTCAATGTTGCATGTCGCATGTCGCATCTCGCATATCCATCCATCCCTCCCCTGGTCGCGATGAATGCGAATGAATGCGGATGAATGAACATTCCTCTTCCTCTTCCCCTTGTTGATTCCACTTGCTGTTTACCCTCACAATCCAATATAATATAAGCCATTGGGGGCGGGAATGGATACCAAATTAACATTGTTCAATGAATGATACAAACCGTAGACATCGTGGACCTTTTTGTTGGACTCTGTGCTTTGGTATCACTGTGTCGCCAGTGTCGCCAGTGTCGCAAGCAAGAGGTGCATACATGTACATACACACAAGTAGTACGAATATAATTCTGAACGTGCTTCCGGGCGTATTCTAGTCTCTCTCGTTCTCTCTAGGGGAAGGGGAAGGGAAGGGACAGGAAGGGCGGCATCTCCACCAGTCAAGGAAGCAGGAAGAAAAGTATAAAAAAAAAATCCAACCAAACATTTTTCATCTTTTTTCACTCCATTCACCCATCCATCACCTTTTTTCATGCAACCCAAAAAATACTAACGCGCGAGCTGTACACCTGCATAGCCTTGAATCCCACAAAAATATCCCAAGGTCCAAGGTCCAAGGTCCAAGGTCTAAAAAGTGTGAAAAGAATCTGAGAAGCATTCCAAGGGCTGAATTTATTAATTTGTTTATTGATTCCAAGACGACTTGTACCGAATACCTAATACCCGATACCTGCCCTCCTACTTACTACCTGACCTACTTACAACTTACATCGTACATACCAACCATCCCATCCCATCCCATCCCATACCATACAACACAATACCAAAATACCCCTCCACCCTTCCCTCCCCCCAGTCAAATATCAAAGCAACAGCACCAAAGAGGCTTGGATTTTGAACCAAAGAGGAAATATTTCTATTTAGAAACACTCTTCATCCCTCCCCCGAGTTTCATATCAAACACTTGACATACCTATCTACGGAATACACCTACCTAGTATACCTCTACCTACGCAACATTACCGTCTCAATCTCCAGTTTCTTTTCTCAAATTCGTCAAAAGCTAGCTACTTCCTTCCCACCCCCGCGATACTAGAACAAACTCGCAAACTTATCTATTCTTCGCCAAAAGGAAAAAAAAAAAGGAAGAAAAAAGAAAAAACTCTTATCAATCTTCTACCTCATAAATTTCTTCTACAAATACTGCAAATCTCAAACAATCCAAGAGACTCCTGCAGGGAAAGAAAAGGAAACTTACATATATCATCATGGTATCATTCAGCTGTGAGGTATGTTTATTATTCTTACGACTCCAATGTCCTATTGAAACACCGACACCTGCACCTACCTACATTTCTACCAACATCTATTCTGGTAACTCAAACAAGCTTTGGTCTGACAAGAAACAATCTATAGAATTGCGGAGACGTCCTGACGAAGAAAAAACTTGACCCTCATCGAAATCAATGTCGCGGGGCATCATATACTTGCCTGGATTGCATGGTACATTTTCAGGGCCTAGAATATCGCTCGCATACGGTATGTAAACAAACATGATTCAGACGCGGGGCATCGTTGGCTGACAACAATTAAAGAGCTGTATGAGCGAGGCGCAAAAATACCAAGGCGCGCTATACAGAGGAGAGGGTAAAGGAAAGAAAGGAAAGCAACAAAACAATCAAAAGAATAATTCGCATAATAATTCTCAATCCGCACCCGCCCACAACGCATACGTCGAAGATGCGCAAGACGAGTACGACAATTCGCAACAAGCTACCGCCCCGGTACCAGAAGCTGCCCCCTCAACGCCAGCACCCGTCAATGTATTTGATTTCCTCGTGGATCCAACACCCAATGCGTCGCGATTAGATCTCCCCGCAGCTGATGAGATCATGAACGATTCTGAGCCTGAGCAACAAGTTCGTGATGAGCCCATGAGCGATGATGCAGATAGTTCCGAAGTAGAGGGGAAACCTTCCACGGATCTCGTACGAGTGAACGCAGCAGACAGTCCAAGTCTTACCAATCTCGTCGAATGGGGTTCTGGACCAGTACCTACCAACGGACCTTTCGAAACACCGGCGCCAAAAGCGATTGAGTGGAAACCAACCAAGGAACATGAGGGAAAATCGAAAAAGGATAAGAAGGATGAGAAGAAGAAAGACAAGAAGCGCAAACGCTTACATGTTGACACATCGTCCCGCGAAGGCGACGTCCAAATGAATGATGCGCCACCAGTTCTACATTCAGGATTGACTGCTGAAATTGGCAAGCTTCAGACCCGTCCTTCAGTCTTCCCTCCATCGCCAGATTATTCCGGTGCCGATGCTGAGAAGGAATCGCCTAGCGCAAGACCCAAGAAGACCAAGGAATCCAAACGCGCCAGCCGTGCTCGCACTCGTAATGACACATTCGGTAGCAATTTGATGTCATTGATCACCACTCGCCAACCTTCCCGCGAGCACTCGGAAGATCGACCTAAGAAACGTAAGCACAAGCATCGTACCAAGTCCTCTGAAAGACCTAAGATGCTCGAATACAAACCGATGAACGGCGCTGGTGATTCTTCCCCTGGCGAAAACCAAATGGTCGTCTACAAACCCCGCGCAGAACTTCTCATGAGCATGGTGAACAAGGGTCCCAATAGCGAGAAGGGTGTTTCGATGAATAAAGCATTGAAGAGATATCATCGCGAGAGAACGGCCGCGGGATTAGCGCTTGGAAAGGGAGATGAGGAGAAGGAGCTCTGGAGGAGTTTGAGAATGAAGAAGAATGATAGAGGAGAGATCGTCTTGTTTATGTGAACATGTATCACATTAAAACGGGGCGCCAACAGATGAAGCGGGGTGCGCAACGGAGATGGAGCAGAAAGGAGAGGAGGAGCATTGTGATACCATATTTTCTTCTTTCTTCTGAGATGTATGTTTGGGATTGCAGGTTTTGTTGTTGCTTGTTTGTTCTGTACTTGCACTTGTACTTTTCTCATGCGTTTTTCATTCTTCTCGTTCTTGTCTTTGTTCTTGTTCTTCTTGTTCATACATCTATCGTGTTTACGTTTTCTGCTGTTGGATTATGCTTATGCTTATGCTGTTAATCATGTATATGAGGGCATTGCGCGCGGGTTTGACTTCTAGGTTGGATCGGAATAGGAATGGATGGATGGGCATAAATAAGTGTACGAGATTTGTGGAATGGAATGGGATGGGCTTGAAAGGACTGGGCTACACAGGACTGACTGCATGGGATTGAATTGATGTTTGTTTGTGTGTGCTTCCAGGTACATATTTTTGGCTGGTTGGATCCAGGATATCACATTAATGGTTGTGGTGCATGGCTTGATGTGTTATGAGTAGGAAGGCGGATGTAGTAATGTGAGTGGATATTAGTGGGTTCAATCAACCAAGCAATTAATCAATCAATCAATCAAACGTACAAACGTACACAATACATGTCTTCCTCCTGTGAAAATGGTTCCGAAATCGGTATCCCATATCTCGCTTGTAAAAATAAAAATAAAGTGTGGTGAAATCAATAACTCAATACGACAGACGTAGCATGGAAATGGTTGTCTTGTAGATCCATAATATGTGCCTCAACATCGTATGTGATTTTCGTTTGATAGCATCAATGAAAAAGTGATGTTTTGTTCTTCAGAAGCTCGAATCTTAATTGCTCTCTATCATCATTCATGAGGACAGACATCCTTTCCTTTTTTGTAATATCCCGAATCCGAATCCGATTCCGATTCCTCTTTGTATTCATGTCTCTATCTACATCTCGATATTGTCTGTGAGAGTGAGTGTGAGAGGGAGAGGGAGAGGGAGAGAGAGAGGGAGAAGGGCTTTTTGGTCTCTTTCTTTTGTCTCTCGTCTTTCCTTTGTATACATACATACATACAGATTATATTTCCTCCCAATCGATGCGTCGTCATCTATTTCTAGACTTTCTTTACATCTACATGGAGTTCTCCATTTTTATGTTTTCCGCGTCCTCGGTCGCATCATGCGTGATACATTGAATCAGAGAAAAAGAGAGGCTCTGCTCTTCTCTGCTCTGCTCTACCGTCCGTCTCCATCTCTCATTGTATACCATATACCATATACCATATACCATATACCATATACTTTTCCACGTCTCCTACCCTTCCCCACACCCCTCCTCACCCATAAACTACCCACCGCACGACCCCACGACCCCCAACACCCCAAGCATAACCCCCGTAAACCAAGCACACATGTGATGCGCCCTCTGCACTGCGAGTTCTTGGGCGTGTTGTTCCCATGATAATTCATTTATCATATTGTCTTCAATGCCGGTTTCTAGATCTGAATCGGAATATGAATGCGAACCGGAAGAGGAAGCGGAAGGCGTAGAAAAAGAAGCGGATGTGGATGTAGATGTGTATGGCGAGGAAGAGTGTAGTGCGGGTAATGTCGGGAAGAGAAAAGGAAAGGGACGAGTTGCGAAATCAGGAAATGGGTTTGAGACTGCATGTTGATTTGGGGATGTGGTGGTATTGTAGTTCAATTCTGGAGCATGTGTTTCATTCGAGATCTGTTGGTATTCAGCTTGGAAAGCGGATGGGATGGACGGCGAGAGGAGATGGTGATGGGATTTTGGTTGAGAGTAGGCTTGAGCGCGTGAAGTGGTACTTTTTTGTGCTTGTTTTTGGCGCGAGTAGGGAGATGTTGTGGGTGGAGCGAGGGATTGTCGTGGTTGCATCTGCGGTTCCTGCGATTGTACTTCTAGTTGCGATGGGAGCGGGGCGTACACAACTGATTGAGGCGAAGAACCCAGCTGAGGAGAAGATAGAAGAGAGGAATAGTAATGTTGTATTGGATCTACCATTGCGTGGTTTGCGCTTGGGGGTGACGGAGGTGGTGGTGGAGAGTCTGGTCGAAATTGTTGAGGTCTATCAAGTTCTTGAGAAGAGGATTGGGAAAGGGTAATAGCGTGAGGGAAAGGGTGGGAAGACATTGTGATGGATTTGTTGGAATTCGGTTTAGTTGGAATCTAAATACGAAGTTGAGTTGAGGTTGTTTCTTAGTTTGTATGTCCTTTGGAGAGGAAGAGACGGAGGCCAAATTGAGGAATATGTGTGTACAAATAGAAAGTTGTTGTGTGATGAGTCAAGTAGAATATTTTAACTTTCGGTTTGTTGATTGATCTATAGTGAATTGTCCAAGTGGTTGAATCAATTAATCAGATTCAAAGATCATATTCAACTCAAACAAAAAGCCGCAAGGATAGCTTGATCGCGAAAATCAGAATCTGTAAATAGCCATGAACTTTCAGGTGAAATTACTCATAGGTAGATTTGATTGTTGATATGGGATTTGGCAATGGCAGAGAAAGTGATGTGTATTCTTATGTGAAAAGAAAAGAGAAAAAAAGCTGTTGCTTTCTGGAATATTGAATTGGGTCAAAGGAAGACTTCAATGTGCACTGGGCGGAGTGAATGGGAAAATATGGAAGTTGAGTGGATTGAAGAGGACTTGCTTAAATTCCCCAGACCTAGATTTGGAATCATGGTATTCGGATTCCATACTTCAATGCGGGGTGCACGCTGAACAAGAAGTGAATAGCAATGCAAGAGCTCGCACATGCATCTTCCCCATGAATCTAGACTCTCCACATTCATGATTGTATTCCAGTCCCTCGAAAAACGGTGTGAAACTGCGGCAGTCCGTGATCCAAATCCTCCAAATCACCCCCGAGGCCACAAGAATGATTCTCTCACGTCTCAAGATTTGCACATTGTCGTAGAAATAAGGTACCGGGAATTCATCGATCGTGTTATTTTGTGGTGAAAGTATTTCCTTGAACTGATCCATCCATATTCATCAAACGTACATCCAGCCCATAGCCGTAGCAAAAGCCTGCACCTGAATGCATGAAGAAATTCCCAATGCTCCCATCATTCGATAACTATGACCAACAATTTATCTCAATCTTCTAGCCTCACGCTCAGATTCGAGTAAGCAGAGGATGTCATCTTCACGGACTATTTCGATATGTTAGCCTACACCTTCCCTAGCTTCCTAATGTTTCCTTCTCGAATATTTGCTGCCGAGTGTAATCTTGGGGGGAAATAAAGATAATCGTAAAATCGTACCTGGGCCCTTGACGTTACGGATGATGGAACGGGTGGTATCGTCCATGAACTCAACTCTGACTTGAGTAACACCTCCACGGGAACCTAATTTTTGTCAGAATTACCTCCTTCCGAATCCGCAGATGTAGATTCTCCAAATTTCGACATACCGGTTCTGCCCAAAACACGGGTGACCTTAACGAGCTTGACGGGGACCTTTGATGCATCCATTTTTGCGATCTGAATTTTATTAGAATCTTGGAACCGTAGATGAGCTCCTGAGTCACTCACAGGATTAATGCGCTTGGATTTTGGGATGTGGTTGATAAATTGACTCGGGGCTTACTGGTCGACGTGAATTTGGTGATAATTTTTTGCCTGTTCGCAGAATCTTAGGGCAAGAGATTCTCGTTAATATTCTTAGCGTTGAAATTGAAGCATTTTTGCACTAACATAAATCGGGACTAGTGGCCTTTGAGAAGACGCCGACCACCGAAAGTACCAGGTGTTACACGTGGGGCAGAATGATGAAGATGAGTACTAGGTGACTTTTTTTTAATAATGGAGTTTGCGCCAAACATCTCCGAGTCATATTAAAAGTGAAGTCTTGTCCCTTTCCCATATTATCCAATAATCGTGATTCTCCTTGCTTCTAATATATTTCAAATTACCCAAGCCATACATTTCTTATCATTTACGAACACAACATACTCTGCTTCTGCTTGTGATTCAAGTGAATACCCCGCAATCGGAGTGGTTATATCTTCACATTGTACAGAAACAAACAGCTTGCTCTCCTCACCCTCAACAAAATGGATTTAGTGAATCAGTAAGAATTGTCCTCTTTTACCTTGTTGGCTCTCGAGCTTGCCATTGAAGCCTATTTAAACGGTTTGGAGCTGTTGGTTTCGCAATTTGGGGCACGTAGAACCTGGCAACTCCTACCATTCAAAGAAGCTACTATGAAAGTTCTCAAGATGTTATACATTGCAGACGAGGAGTCTGAAGAGTACGAACCTTTCACTAACGATCACAAAAGCTTAGAAGGTAGACTGCTATTCGCAGTACCAAAAAGTGAGTCATGACACCATTGAAGCCGAATCCTGTGTTCGAGATTGATGGCTGATTGAATTGTTAGAGGGAAGACTATTACAAGCAGCACTCAATTTGCTCGAAGGTGCCGATATTCAGTTTCGAAGAGAATCAAGACTTGACATAGCATTGGTCAAAAACTTACCAATTGCGCTCGTTTTCCTTCCCGCTGCCGATATTCCTACGTTCGTTGGTGAAGGTCGAGTAGATATTGGTATTACTGGGCGGGACACAGTTGCAGAACATGCCACAGGAGTCGAAACCGAGAGGAGAGTTAAGTCAGAATCGGGAACATCAACCCCTGTCGAAGCGGGCAAGGAAGAAGGATGTGTAGAGATAATGGATTTGGGATTTGGTGCTTGTAAGTTGCAAGTACAAGTGCCAGAGAAGGGACCATATGCGAAGCCATCAGATCTCATTGGAAAGAATATTGGTACCAGTTTTGTCAGTCTATCTGAGGAATTTTTCCGAGCATTGGAAGCTGAGGCAGACGGTGGTGCCGTATCCGGGCGCAAGTTGAAGACCAAGATCATCGAGCTCAGCGGCAGTGTTGAAGCTGCATGCGCTCTTGGTGTCGCTGATGGAATTGTGGATCTGGTTGGTGAGTAAAAGAACGACATGATCAACCTCAAAAAGTTTCGTATTAATATGTCATCAGAGTCGGGTGAAACCATGAAGGCAGCAGGATTAAAGGCTATCGATACCGTCGTCTCGAGTACAGCAATTCTCGTGAAATCCAAAAGACCCTCAAATCCAGCATTGGTAGATCTTATTGCTTCCCGTATTCGAGGTGTCATCACTGCACAAAAATACGTCTTGTGCCAGTACAACGTTCAACGAACAGCCCTCCCGGATGCAGTCAAAATCACCCCTGGAAAGCGAGCACCCACGATCAACGCCTTGGAGGAGGAAGGCTGGGTAGCTGTTAGTTCAATGGTCGAGAAGAAGAAGATCGCTGTGGTTATGGATGATTTGACGGCCGTTGGAGCAACAGATATCTTGATTCTTGATATTGCAAACACGAGAGCCGGATGAAAATGAACGAGAGATGAAAAAAGGAATGTATCATGATAACAGATTGAGATTTCGGATATTGGTGGGAGATTGGAGGACGAGAAAATACCCATTTGGATCGAATCGAGCCTGGAGTTGTAGCTTGGAAATCTAGTACATCCTTAAATCAAAATTTGCAGTGGATAATGCATATGGTGTGAAATTTTTTAGCGAATTTAGATGACTAGATAAAAGAAATCTAACCAATCCCCGACGAAGGGTTTGCGCATCAAGATCAAATCCTTCACCAGCCAACCGCAAAAGGGTCCCTTTTCTCCTCCCTTACAAAAGATCCGTCTGAATTACCCAATAGCACACCTTTGAAGCGCCGACGAACATGAGAATAATTGATGGATGGGCCCTCGATTTTGTCGTATTTCCCCCTCTTCGGTCTCGTCTTCCTATCTGGAAATAAAACGACTTCATTTTCCGGCCAGAGAGGTAGTGTCTCTTCTTTCGTAACTACCCCTATCTCCTTCAAATCACGAAGCGAAGCGAGAACAGTGGATGAGATGGTCAGGTGAGAATAAGCTTCGTCTCCAATGATTAGATATCTTAATCGCTGCAGCCCGTATCCACATCCATCATAATCCTCCCCCAGCCTTAACAAATTCCCTAGTTTCTCAACCCAGGCCGAATAGTAAGGGCTGTAAATTTGGCTAGTATCTATCCGAAAATATAAACTATCCCTAAAAGGACTGAACCAGAGATTCAAAGAAGGGATGTATTGGTAGTAGTGGAGAGCGAAAGAACGTGATTCGGAGATGAGATGAAGAAGAACGGGAATGCTAGAATAAGAAAAGTAGATAGGAATGAAGGTTTGAGAGGGGGGAGAAAATTCCAATTCTAGAATGCGAGGGGAGGGGAGACAATGGGTGTATATTTGGAGACGAAGTTCTGGAGGGAGGAAAGGAAAGAGTGAGAAGGTTGTAAGGGTTTGAGATGACGTTAGAGAAGAGGAAGATTTGGGATTAGATAGGTTGTAATCTGTGTCAGTGGTAAAGTGAGGCATATTGAAAGTTTTCAACTCAAAATTGGAATCTTGAATGTGCGTGTGGAGTTGCGTTTGATAAATTGATAAGGAAGTGGCGAGAAAACAGCTCAGCCGAGAACGAAAGGGGTGAGATGTTGAAGAAAGAGTCAACTAAGCTTATGGGTTATATGTCATCGTGTCGAATTACGAAGGGACAAAATGGTAAGAAATGAATACCAACAGAAGAAACTACCTAGGTAGGTATCATACTTATATGTACATGTTAGATAACCGCTGAGTGCGATTCCTTTACACACTGAGGCTATATCGAGATTTTTCTCTTCGGGCGTCTATGTTGTGTTTATCTATGCACCGCCATAGTGGATAACTTCCTCCTTCGAATGTTGGAGAAGGAATAAATGCCTAGGTCCTCACTGAGATATTTGTCTGTGGACAGACTAAGTTACTTGTGCCATATAGCTCAAGGAGACCCACGAAGCAACAGTACATATTTTTATGACCGACAATACCAACAATAACGTGTGGTCGACCTATAAGTACCTCGGGTTAAGAATAAAGACTTCGACCAGCCTTGTAACCTTAGCGCGAGGCTGTTGGTTTCCAAGATTTGATATAACTTCACTTGTATCAGAGATTGCGACAATAAGTCCGCAATACCCTTTCTCGGCTCATAGGTCAATTTATTTCCACATTTGATTCTTCAGAGTCATCTCATACAATGATGCAATGCAAATGTTACAATGTTCCAGACGATGAGCGAGTATGAGTCAACTCTCATGTATGAGTCTTGGAGTTGACAAATTTATCCGAAGAGTCCAGAAGAGCGCTAGTTGATAAGTTTAGCGTCGATAAAGAAGCTCATGGATTGCCACAATAAAATCAGCCTTATTCCCCTCTACACCAGAGTGCTACTTCCGTATCTTGCAAGTAAAAAGTATTTTCATCCATTTTCTACCATTTAATCTTTTCATTCCCTTTTCTTGTCTGAAGTCGCCGTATATCTTGAGGCGCAATTACTTGTTAATTTACGAAAGTTCCGTATTTGCAAGCTCTCTTAAATTTGTCTGCATTGCATCGCAGTAAATAAAAAAATAACGACCCCGCCACTGGTCAATAGTCGATTTAACACACCAACAATCGACAATTTCTGGTTACATCGCCGACTCGTTCTATTCACATATCATGGCTACTACAGAATCATCTCCAGCTTCTGGCTCCAATCGTCCTCCTCGAACTCGGACTCGTCGCCCAAGACGAGGCGGCCATCGGGACACTGGACCTGCACCAGCAGATGGAAACACAAACGCTACTCCAAATCTAACGACACAAGTACCAAATGGTCCTTTAGCTCTCAGACCGGCTTCTGTGGCACCACTGCCAGACTCAAATTCTCCAGCCCCGTCGAACCCGCGAAATTCGAACGCAAACAATCGAGGAGGCGGCAATGGTAGAAGAGGTGGGTTTGGACGAGGGGGTCGAAGAGGGGGTGGTCGCGGACAGCCCATGGCCAATGGAAGAGTGTTTGGAGGGCAACTTACCTCAAACTCGCATACTGGTCCTACATCTGACGCTGGTTCTCTTGCTGGAGATGCTCCAGCATTTACACCTGGACATCCTATTGCCACCCGACCTGGACCCTCGCGAGCTCCGCGCGCACGTCGAATGTCGAAATCGCAAGCTGCAGATCTTGCCACTCGAACACACGAGGATATCACAAATGGCCAATACGAATGCGCAATTTGTACCAACGAAGTTTTACCAAATTCTAAGATATGGAACTGTAAAAGTTGTTGGTCGGTTCTCCATTTATCATGTGTCAAAAAATGGTCGAAGAATGAAGTATCGACACATCAACAACGAGCAGTTGAAAACGGAGAATTGCCACCACCGAGACAATGGAGATGCCCCGGTTGTAACTTGCCCAAAGAAGACTTGCCAATATCGTATACTTGTTGGTGTGAGAAGGAGATTGAACCACGATCAGTAGCTGGGCTACCACCACATTCTTGTGGCAGAGTTGTTCAAAAAAACGGATCGGACATTGTCCTCATCCATGTGATCTTATGTGCCATGCTGGATTCTGTCCACCTTGCGCTCACATGGGGCCTTCACTTCCTTGCTTTTGTGGCAAAGAGACGGTTTCAAGAAGATGTTTAGATACGAAGTACGAAAGCGGATGGGCTTGTGGGCAAATCTGCGATGATGTACTTCCCTGCGGAGAACACAATTGTGAGCGGAGTTGTCATGAGGGCCTCTGTGGCAGTTGTGAGGTTCTTATTGAATCAACATGCTATTGTGGTAAAGTCGAAAAAACTCTACCTTGCTCGGAACGCGATGAAGAGCGTGAAAGTCAAGCACCAACCAGTACGCTTGATGGTGAAAGTTTGGCCACGAGGACATGGATTGGATCTTTTGACTGTGGCTCTGAATGCCGTAGACCCTTTGATTGCGGTAAACCAGATCATTACTGTGAGACTAGATGCCACCCTCAAGACCTATTACCTGCACACTGTCCATTGTCGCCAGACGTTGTCACAACTTGTCCCTGCGGTAAAACGCCAATTTCTACACTCCTCGAAACTCCACGAACCGATTGCACCCAGCATATTCCTCACTGTCAAGAGAAGTGCGAATTGCCGTTGAAGTGTGGGCATACCTGCCAAGGTATTTGTCATGAAGGCGAGTGCCGACCTTGCTTTCAGTCGGTGTTAATTGCATGTCGCTGCGGTAGGACAACATCAAACACTATGTGTCATCAAGGAGTGGATGAGAAGCCCCAATGCCCTCGAGTATGCCGAGCAACACTCAACTGTGGGAGACACGAGTGCGGCGAGCGATGTTGTTCTGGAGAAAAGAAAGCAAGTGAACGACAAGCCGCAAAACGAAAGCATCGTGCTTTGAATGCTCCGCCGACAGAAGAGAACATTGAGGCTGAGCATATCTGTCTCAAAGTCTGTGGACGCGCACTAAAATGTGGTGAACATGCTTGCGCTGAACTTTGTCACAAGGGCCCTTGTAGATCATGCCGTGAGGCTATTTTTGAAGAAATCAGCTGCGCTTGTGGCCGTACCGTTTTGCAGCCTCCAATGCCTTGCGGGACGAAACCACCCGAGTGCCGTTTTGATTGTACAAGAGCAAGAACTTGTGGACATCCACAAACTAAGCATCAATGCCATCTTGATGGTGAAGATTGTCCAAAGTGTCCCTTCCTTGTAGAGAAGCCTTGTATTTGTGGCAAACGGACTTTGAAAAACATTCCGTGTTGGTTCACTGAAGTCCGGTGTGGCTTGCCATGCGGAAAAAAGTTAAAGTGCGGTATACATTCTTGTCAAAGTCTTTGCCATCGTCCCGGACAATGTGAAGACGCGACTTCGCCATGTCATCAACCGTGCGGAAGGCAGAAAAGCGTTTGCGATCACTCCTGTACCGACGCTTGCCATGCCCCTTACCCCTGTAAGGAAACACTACCTTGCCAAGGCAAAACCTTCGTTACCTGCCAATGTCAACATCAGAAGCAAGCGGTCAAATGTCTCGCATCGAAAACCAGTGAGGGCAATTCAAAAAAGACACTAGATTGTAATGACGAATGTCTTAAGCTCCAGCGCAATGCAAAGCTTGCCGCAGCCTTGAATATTGACCCAAGCACTCACACGGATGATCATATTCCATATTCTCAACAAACATTGGATATGGTCAAAGACATGCTTAAATTCTGTCAAACCTATGAGCGCGAATTTCGCGTTTTCGCAGCGGATCCATCGGAGAAGAGATTAAGATTCAAGCCCATGCCATCTCATCAGAGAGCATTCTTGCACTCATTGGCGGAAGACTATGGTCTTGATAGCGAAAGTCAAGATCCAGAGCCCCATCGCCACGTTTCAATCTTTAAGACACCACGCTTTGTATCTGCACCATTGAAAACTCTAGCGCAATGTGTCAAAGTCAAGCCTGTGGCAGTTGTGGAAGCCGCATCTTCAAAGAGATTGGTTGCTACAGCCGAACCGTTCAATGCATTCTTATTATCGAATCCTAGGTTTGGATTGACTATTGATGAGATACACACCGACCTTTTGTCTGAGTTCGCAAATGCGGGCCTCGATTTCGACGTATCTTTCCTACCTTCTGGTGAAGTTGTCCTTCGTGGAAAAGCTCCCGAGACTTGGTACACGAAAGTTGATTCCGCACTAACTGCTATGCAACATAGCCTTGTTCAAAAGGTTAAAGCACTTCAATTAGCATCGACAGTTGTTCTCTGTAGTGTGGATTCGAGTTTGAATGTCGTCAGGAGAGAAGATGATCATTTAGGTGGTGGGTGGAGTCAAGTGGCCAAAGGAGCCAGCGGAAGCAAAGCTCCAGTGAGGCCAGAGATAGGTGTGAAAAGCAGCTTCACCGTTCTGGGAACTAGAATGGCGGCGAAAAAGAAGAAAGAAGAACAGGATTCTGCAGTAGATGACTGGGAAAAGGAAGTGGAAGCTTGGGATGCTTGAGGATGATCATATGAGGATCATGGTTATTCAATCAATGTACACTAGGTACATTTTTAGAGAATAATGAAACGACAAATTCTAACTATAGCATCTTTTTATTATCAGGTCCATCCATATGGCTAACCCGTTCCATAGCTTGATATCAAATTGAGGAACCTTTTCCAGCCCACATTGCTCCCTGGCGAGATTGTATAATACCATATCTACCTAATCCATCATGATATACGTCATGGATCAACAGTCCCTACATGACATTTCATGGAATACCTGCTCTCGTTTCTACACATAACTAGATTCTTGGCGTCAGATCCTTTTTTTCACTTCATCATCTTCGTCTATGTAGCACCTATTCGTGTCTTGATAATCTACTCTTCCCTTCACGAAAGTGCTATTTCTTTTGCTCATCCACCATCATATGTGTTATAGTCCTTCTCTTCCAATCCCAGGCGGAAATGGTAGAAGTAAAATACTTAAACTTTATGGAATATACTAGTGCTGGATGGCCTACTGTGTTCAGGTTCAGATTCAGATTGATATCTGGAGATTGATGCGCCTTTTGTTTCCCCCTCTCCAACGCGATGCTTGAGAAGGTGGTATTGCAAGATGTGCTGAGGAAGATAAGGCAGGCTTGAAAAAGAAGGAGAAAGTGAACGGATTTTCAGGGAGAGTATAGGCTCAGAAGGTTTGAAGGAATGGGGAGCACCAACGATCTAAGAAAATTTTAGTGAAAGCGTAGAGCAAGTAAGTAAGTGGTCTGCTATTGCCGTCTCATGTTCAACGCTATTGACCAAGTTACCATTCTAGCTTTGGTGTCTAAGTAGTCCCTCAAAAGAAGTTGGACTATCGATGGGTACATATATCAGCTGTGCCTGATTATTACGTGCAGGACGTCATTCGTCTTTATCTCCACATTCACCGTCATATTCATCATATGTTTGTTTCACTCGGCTATTCCAGGATTCTCATCCCAACTCCGCGTAAGCAAATAGGCCGCCTATTCTTTCCACCACTCTGTTGCCCCACAATATATGTTGACGTCGCCTCGCTTCGCCGACGACATCAATCTCACCCACCAACTCCAACTCTTTCAAAAGTGAAAGATGGAAGTTGACCAGTACTCTTCAGAATGGCAAAACCTTACCGCCCCCACGAGAGGGGCGGGAGGATAAACCCCCGATGAGGGGTTTTTTTCGATTCGAACCAGGCGTGTTACCACTCCACCACAAGAGCGCATTTGACCTGAACAAACAAGCCTGTTTGCCGCCTTTGCGCTCTCGATGGAGAAATTGTTTCTGAGAGGGCTTATATAGTAGAGTAGGTAAGAGCTTGGTGAAATGAGGTGTAGAGGAGAAATGCTCAACGCTCTGCCGCGGGTAAATCTGGTATCGAACTGCCAGTATGCAATGAAGCCAAAGTAACTACCCACTGTATAATCCAGGCAACCGATTGCCCAGTAAGACCAATTTCATTTCAACACGACTGTAAAGCAAATTGGTACAAGGTAGCATGTCCATTAGGGTAGGCGAAAGATAAAAGAGTTCAGATACTCGAGTTGACGGGAAACCATTTTCGCCACTCAGAAGAAAAAGCCGTCTCTTCCACTCCCGCATGACCCCCCACTACAAGCAAGGGCACCAAAATTCGATGTAGTGTATGTGAAGTGATTCCCCACGCCAGTACAAACGGGATGAGTTGCAGATGGCTGAATAATCTAGCCCGAGAGGTACGACCAGTACGTGTGTCACACCGGATAAACCGAGCCGGTAATGATCCACAAATCTAGTTTTAGATGCTTGGTGAGACTAGGCGCATACATAACTTCATTCTATGCGAACTAGATGGGTACTAGGTGACCTTCCCGTATCCGCAAGAAGGCGGGACCTTATTGGCAAGCTTGGGCAAGGCCCGTACCGGTACCTATTGCGACATTAATATGCCCAAGTAATTGTACCGGCCGAAAATGTCGTTCTTCAGTTGCTAAAAGCTCAAGCTTTGAAGCTTATGGAAAATCATGAATTCAGAGATCTTCGATGCGACGAAGCCATGGCCGAATATGGAGAATGCTAGGCCCGCTTCCTGGTGTAATTGAGAAGACGCGATAGTAGGACAACTTTAGAATGCACTTGTAAACACAGCGCATATAATCTGCTCGCTTTGTAGTATGAGTAGCTTGTTGAATACAAGCTGTGTTCACTGCGCTAACTTGAAGGTTAATGTCCACGTGCCATGGTACCTCTTTTGTGTTCGGACGCATCTGAAAACGGGCGCCAAAGGGGTGCTGGACATGTACTATTCTGGTAGACGAATAATACCGATGTACAATTATTATCATGGAAGACGACAATATTGAGCTTCTGGATTAAGAAAATCTGCAAGGATTGTCATGGTTGCATTGCCGGCTCTGAAAGTTCTGAATCCGCGCTGCTTCGAATATCAAAAAACAGTGATAAGAGGCTTTTTATCGTACCAGTTGCTTGGCGAATCACATTCGGCAGGTAGAGGCAATTTGAGGGAAACGCATTAAAAATATGCCACGGGAGCTGCCTATTCTAAAACCTCTCGTCGTATTTCTCACAACGATGGCCTGATTCGACTCGACTTCGCAGGTAAGACCATTTCCAATGCCGAGGTTTATATGTTGGTAAGAACATAATGCGCTGAATGATCAAGCGAACGTAAGATCCTGCATCGTGGTCCCATTCAATCATTGGTATGATGAATGCATTATGTATCATGTATCACCGCAGACACTAATGAAGCCCGGAGGCGACAGCGTGGTCTGATTGTACGTTGGGGATGTCGTCTCTGGGTTCCTAGTTGCCGGTTCTCGTAGACTCATTATGTAATTTCGCCTCTCAAGAATATGATACATCTCTTCGACTTTGATATCTCGTGATCCTAGAAGAAGGTGGTTCGGGGTTCTGGTGGTTCGATACGGAAATTGGAAGTCGATGTCATGTGAGCCAAGATATCATGGAAAACCCCAGATTCTCGTTGGCCAAACTGCGGTTGATTCATTCCTTTTCATTCTCCACCCCCACGTTCTCTCACTGAATCTCGACAAGAAACGGCTGTCCGAACATGTTACCAACACCGTGATCTTGGATTCTTGTGTCAGCTAAGCCATCTGGGGAATCATCTTACAAGACCAGGGTCGATGAACCCCGCGATTTTCAGGGATCGAGGTCATTATACCGTATCAGCAGACATTTTACTCTGCAGCGACAAGTACAATTCGATGAAAGGCCAGACTACGTACGTTCATATACACCTGAAAGAAAAGACAAACTCGTCTATAGGCATGGTTTCTTCAGCCCAATATGAGTGAGCTTTTGGCAAAATACAAAAGTTCAGCTCCGGAGGATATAGTGCGGTTGGTGCTGAGTGAGACTGCTCTGAGTCTGAGCCTCCATCTCTCAACTTTTTTTTTTTACCATCAATCAAGATCCAGGAATTGCCCCTCAGCCAAACCTCTTAGAAAGCTCTTACATTATCGTACTCGGAGAGATGGAAGTCTCTTAAGGCCATGATGCAAATAAGCAATTGAAATTAGCAACAGATTATTGGATAAACATGCGACTTTACCTGAGGTATCATGTATGCGGTGAGGTGAAGTTGTCTAGGAAGGAGCAAACGGCGCCCGACATGTAATGGAATACGGGGTTCAGAGATTGCACTTTCCCTTTTCCTTACATTTCATCTCTTGGCAAGCAGAAAACACCAAGATAGGCTTCTCTACCGTTCTCTATTGAATTCAGAATACAACATCGTTGATGATCATTGATCAAAACCGGAGAGTGCAGCATATGAAATATCGAGACGCAGTCAATCAATTGCTAACTCCAGATCAGGAATCCCAGCTTTGTTGAGCTAAATGTGTAATTGGTCGGGAAATGGAGGGGTTAGTTGCCGTTACTTGCCGTCACCTGCTACTCCTTGCTGCTGTCGTCCATATGAAAAGTAACATTTGGGTTTCATGATGTTTTCTTTACCATTATGCAAGGCTAGTATCTGCCCGTGCTTCACAATCTCCCATCTTGCATTTATATCTGGTCTTACTTTTCTTCGCCGTTTACTAATATGATCAGGGAAAACAAGCCATGCCACGAGGTCCAACTCCTAGAGAACTTTTGACCCCCCACACCATGCGACGAGAGAAGTAGCTCGTATACGCCACCAGGAGCATACCGAGGAAACAATATTTAATATCTGACTATTGCCCACACAAAGGTCCTTGATAACATCATTTCAAAAACTTTGCCTTCCCTTGAGTCAATGTTGTCTTAGACTGACCTTCTCAAATAGAATCCAGCTAAAGCCTCACATTCCAATCTAGCATAGTCTTGTTATTTCCTTCTAGCATACATCCTGGTACACATAATTGAATATCTTATATTCACCATGGCGCCACACAGTAACGATTCACCTTCACCCGCGAGAGAGTTCTCAACAGATTTTAATATGTCTTTTCACCCTCCAATAAATTCTGTCTTGCTCGACCCGAGCAACGAAAATAGCATATATTCTGTGAACGAATCCTCATACAGTTCGTCTTACAGCAGTGACTCAACAGAAGCCGACGATCACATGGCTCGGCCTCTAGTTCCTGGCGTTTATGTTCCCACAGTCTGCTTCTTCGACCCGACCACGGAAGAACTCGATACGGAAACTATCTCTAGTCATGCGACTCGTCTCGCGAAAGCTGGAGTCACTGGCCTAGCCACTCAAGGTTCTAACGGCGAAGCTGTCAATCTCACCCACGCAGAACGTCAGACTGTTACGGCAACAACCCGTGCCGCACTCACCTCGGCTGGGTTCCCACATCTTCCTATCATTGTCGGTTGTGGCGCACAGTCTGTCCGAGAAACGGTGCAATATTGCCGAGAAGCCTTCGCGGCTGGAGGAGATTACGCACTTATCCTACCACCTTCGTATTATGCACCTCTGTTTTTGCCTTCCTCTGCTTCCGTAATCGAGTTTTTTACAACTGTAGCGGACCAATCCCCAATTCCATTGCTGATTTACAACTATCCGGGAGCTGTCTCCGGTATGGACCTTTCATCAGATGTTATCATCAAATTATCAGCTCATCCCAACATCGTGGGTGTGAAGCTGACCTGCGGCAATACTGGAAAATTGAACCGAATTGTGGCAGCCACAAGGACTTCCAAGCCACACTCCCCCGCATCTCCGCCATTCTTGGTTCTTGGAGGCAGTGCCGATTTCACCCTTCAAAGTCTGATTGGGGGTGGTCATGGGATCCTTGCCGGTTTAGCAAATATTGCCCCGAAGGCTTGCGTCGAAATGACGAAATTATACCACGAAGGAAAAATCAAGGAAGCTCAGATACTTCAGGAAGTTGTTGCTCAAGGTGATTGGGCGGCTATCCAGGGAGGTATTGTGAGCACTAAGGCTGGTATGGAGAGTTGGTTTGGCTATGGAGGATATGGTCGTTCACCGTTACCACATCCTACTAGTGATGAGATGACGAAGTGGAAAGAAGGCTTTCGAGAATTGGTTACTTTAGAGAAAAGCCTTTAGATGAGGTCTTCTTTGGCTCTAGGTTTTAGGCGTTTAGTCTTCGTTATTGTTTTACACAGCTTGTTGATGTACTTTTTTAGCAGTAGTCTCGAAAGCTCTTTTTGCGTTCCGATCTAAAAGTTTCGCTCTTTGGGCATTATGGTTCAGCAAAACCCTTTCAATTCCATTTCACACTTTTCATTTTTTGCAATCGTATCCGGCAATGATTTTGAGGCTAATTTTGGCTTCAATAATATGTATTTGTTCTAGAGTGAAAGCCGGAGAAATATCTGAACTCTCTATACATAATCAGTATCTGTCGAGCAAACTTGTTTTTGGAAAAGAGTGCTCATGCCCCAACCTCTCTGTCGCAGAAACATCTGAAGGCTAGATGCGTGATACATACACACATACATGCATCTTTTAAGTAGATAATTCAAGTCATTAACATTGATCTTACACACGTGGACATGAAAACAAAGAGTGCAGAAGCAAAGCAAATCTTTGGGCTTCGAGAGAAATCTATTTGGACCAGGAAAGACAGGCAGGTTGAAACAAAATTGACATGACATAATTGTGCACACGCATACACTATTTTATCAGTGGAAGAACTTGCACGATGACTATCACCAGATCTTTCTGACAGACAAGTAAAAAATGGCCACAAGATGAAATATCGTGCATATTTGCTAACCCGTCAAAGATTTCTGCAGATCGTTCCACATGGCTATCTGTGTAATCTTTCATGTTCCCTATCTTTAAATGATTCCTTCATGAATTAGGCTTCTTTTTACGCCGTTCCAGTTCCTTGCGCCCTTTCTCAACATTCTGTATGAGCTTCTCAAAATGCTGGGAAGCTTGCTCAGCGCCTTTTCCACGGAATCGCTCTAGGTTTTCAGCGGCTTGGCTGGCAAGAGCTTGATCACGTTGGACTTCTTTCTGCAGCTCTGTGGTGTTGCGCGTAAAGCCGTTGATGAGATTGACCCCATTGCCGATAGAATCACCTGCAGAATTGGGAGATTTCCCCTGACTAATGACATCTTGCATTTTCTTCTGCTTCGCGACGGCTTGTTTGCCTGCAGTTTTAGCTTTAGCGGATTCTTTTACTGATGTGGATTTGGATTTGGAGGGACAGGGTTTGGGGCCAGATTTATCTTCAGAGATTTTTGCTTTGAAAGGTGAGTTAGTTGAACGGAGGCTACGAGCTGGAGTTAAGGTTGGCTTGGTGACCTTGCTAGCGGTGGCTTTGGGGGTAGGTGTTGGTGTTTTGGATTTATTTTTTGGTGCGGCTTTCTTTGTGGCTGCCCTTTTGATAGGTTGAGGCTTTGGCTTTGATATACGTGTGGCTCGTGATCGGGTGGACATTGTGTTGGCAAGGCGCGGGACATCAAAAGGGATGAAGTCTATAGAGGGTGATATGGGGCTAGATATAGAGTTATTGAGATTTCCAAACTCGGGAGGCGCTAATTTTGTAAATTGTGGGAAATTTGGATGCAGCTGGGGTAAGACTGGTTGTTGTGACGGAGCAATAGCTTTCTTTGAGGCTGAAGGTTTTTTATGATTCGGTTTCTTCGTAATAACTTTCTTCGTAACTCCATTCCGATTTTTATAAGATCGCCACCTTTTACTTTGCCCGAGTAAAGCTTCGACCTCCCATCCTTCGATTTTATTGAACCCCGCTAGCCAATCTCCAGACTCGACATCAACATTGCCCTCTTTGTCTACTACGACTATACCGACTTTGTCTTCTATTTTCTGTTCAACATTCTTGCCCTTTTTATTTCTCTCTTCGTCAGTGGGCGTGAATACTGTTGTCGTTGTTTTAACTATCTTTCCACCTGGCACAAGCATGGTTTTCTCCCGTGTCATTCTACTTTCTCTGATACCCTGGGGTTCTGGATCGCCAATCACCATGGCATCCTGAGCAGCCTGGTCCAGCCCGAAAGCCGCTTGGTGTGGAATATTTGCATCAGTAGGTTCGAAATCTGACATTGGATAGTAACCTATCATCGGGTTTGAAAGGTAGCCTGGTATTGAAGGAAAGTTTTGCTGCGACGCCATCCAATCAGCATACCAGTCTTGCTTCTCGGAGTCGAAGTCTCGTGTTTGTCCAGGTCCGAACCACGGTTCATATGATCCTAATGATTGTGGTGCTGTATGTACCTGCCCTGAAAACCTGTTTTGATTC